TGTTAGAGATAGAAGAAGGAAGCGGGATTGAAGAAGGAAAGTGTTAAAGATAAAAGAAGGAAGCGGGATTGAAGAAGGAAACTGAATCCCTTTGGGATTAGGTTTAGTATCTTTCCTAGTTGGTTTAGGTTTAGTATTTAGTATCTTTCCTAAATACACTTTCCTTCTTCAGTCTCGCTTCCTTCTTGTATCTCTAACAAAAACCCTTGTACTATACCTACAATTTGTATGTATAATAACTAAAGGGAGATGCACTACATGCATTAGAATTGGGGCCCAATCTATTTAATACTCCGTACATGTATAAATTTTATCACATAAGAAACTTAGGAAATCAAACTGAATGAGACAAAGAAGAGAGTCTACCATTTGTAGTATAGAATAATCACAACCTCTTAGAAGCATATTTTACATAAAAATCATCCTAAATAGGACTAAAACATAGAGAAAAGTACCAAAATAGGACTTCCATATTTTTTTTTCCGGAATAGGACTTTGCACTGTTGTAATGTGACTTTGCATTGTGGTAATGTGGCAGTGTACATGTGCAAATTACTATACTTTTTTGGTAATATATATGACCATGTTTGGTAATGTAGTCCTATTTCGGGAATAAAAATATGGAAGTCCTATTTTGGTATATTTTCAATGTTTTGGTCCTACTTTGGTCTTTCTTCCTATTTTACACATTGTCATATAATAACACTTGTTCACAAAATAGAGGCGCAAAGTGGCTTGTATTGTCTATATATATATATATATATATATATATATATATATATATATATATATATATATATATATATATATATATATATATATATATATATATATATATATATATATATATATATATATATATATATTCAGGTCAAAATTTGATCAACTTATATTTGCGACGGGCAAAAATACTCCGTCGCTGATTTGCGACGGACAAATAGGATCCGTCGCAGATTATGCTTATTTTTCAAGGATTACACTTCCGTCGTTGATTCGTTGCAGATCTACTACGGAAATAAGTCCGTAGCAGTTTTCCGTTGCAAACTAGACAAATTCATGTAGTGCCCACACAGCATAGTCTGTCACTCCTGCACGCCCAATACCACATGTTGGGACTGCATGTGTCCTTACCCCAACCCTGCATTAGTATGATATTTTCCGCTTTGGGTCAAGCCCTCACAAATTTATTTTTGATCTCTTCCCAAAAGACCTCATACTAATGGGGTTGGGTAACCATATAAATTTTGGTTCATTCTCCCTTTTTCTTTCGGTGTGGGATTTGTTTGTATCCCAACACTAAGGACTTTGTGAAGATTAATGTGGATGCGTCGACAGGGCTTAATGATGGTAAAGTTGGCTTTGGCTTTCTCGCTCGCGATCATCTTGGCCAATTTATTATTGCTAAGAGGGTGTTTGTTTTTTCTGCAAGAAAAGGTCTGCAGTCTGCGGACCACTACTGTAGACATCTGCAGGAGAAGTGGTTGACCGAAGGTCTGCGGTCTGCAAGAAGAAGACTGTTTGTTTTTTAATATCTGTAAACTGCTATATAAATTAATGGTGGTAGTGTACGGTGGTGGTGTATGGACGATTGTGGTGGTGGTGGAGGGTGGTGGTGAAGGATGGTGGTGGACGTTGACGGCGGTGGTGGTGGACGGTGGTGGTGGTGGCGGTGGATGGTGGCGGTCAGTGGCGGATCCACTTACAAGGAGTAGGGGGCAAATGCCCCCAACTAAATTTTTGTGATAAGGTTAAAAATATTATTTTTTAAAATTTTATATACATATGCCCCCAACAAAATTAAAAATAATGTGATCTTATCTAATTAGGTAAAATTTAAATTTTTTGTTTAATTTTTTTAGTAAAGAGTATTTTATTGTATAAATTAATTGATTATAAAATAAAATTTTACCTTACATATTAAAAAATATTTTACATTTAATAAATATTTGAAATAAGACTTATTATTTTTTGTCATTTCAAATAGTCTATCAAAAAAGTTCAGCGACGTTGTCCTCGGACTCTCGATCAATGCTGCCCCCATCTACTTCAATTCCTAGATCCGCCACTGGTGGCGGTGGTAGTGGACGATGATGGTGATGGACGGTGACGGTGATGGTGGACGGTGGTGGATGGTGGTAGTGGTGGACGGTGGCGGTGGTGGTGGACGACGGTGGCGGTGATGGTGGACGGTGGTGATGGTGGTGGACGGTGGTGGTGGTGAAGAGAAGTAGAAGAAAAAAAATGGAGAAGATGTTAGAAGATGTTAAAAGACATAGGTTAATGTCTTCTCGAAGAAGATGTCAGGAAGACCTTTTTGAGTGAAATATCTTCCAAAAAACAAACAATCTGCAGAGTTCAGCATCTGCGCGCGTCTGTGCGCAGACAAAATAAATGTATTTTTATTTTTATTTTTTTCGAAAAGTAATACCAAATTTAAATATTTTTAGAGTAAAACTAATTATTTTTTTCAATAATCGATAATCTGGTAATAATTAGAAAATATATTATTCTACACAATAGAGCTAATTTACTTAATCCATAACTAACTGCATTTTTTGTAAGTTTCATTTATTTTTCTTGAGTGACCCTTCGAATTGTTTTTTGATACTATATTATTATTATTATTTAAAAAATGGCACCACAAAACTTATGAATATTTTTCGATAGTTCTATATAATCATCTTTTATGAAACAACATTACAATAGTTGTGAAAATAATACAACATTTTTTTCTCTAAAATGGAACTTTTATTTTTATAATTCCATACAATTTCTGATGTATTCCAATTTTTTCATGAACACTCCAAAATATTTATTGATAATCTTCTATTGCCTATATTTTTTTTTCTAAAATGGAACTTTACAATTTGTGATTTTTTTAATAATTCAATACAAATTTTTCCCCAAAATAGTAATTCAAAAGTTTTGAAATGGCACAATATTTTTTTCTCTGAAATGGCACTACAATTTTTCGTATTGCAATCTCTTTCTTAATTGATACTCTGAATTATTTTTGATAATTCAATTTGAAAATGACATAATATTTTTTCTCCGAAACGGCACTAATAACTTTTATAACTCACTATAATTTTTTTGTATTGCAATTTCTTTCTTAATTGATACTCTGAATTATTTTTGATAATTCCATACCGAGTATTATATTTTTCCAAAACAAATAACAAAATTTGTAAATCGTTAGACCAATCTCTACCAAGAGTGCACTATTCTATTTTAAAAAATATTAATTTTAAATTTATTATTAAAAAAAGTTAAATTTCCCTATAATAAACACATCTTTCATTTATTTGCAAAAAACAAGCATTTTCTAAAACTTCTGTTAAGTGGCCGTTAATTTTTTAACGGCGACCCAAGACTCGCACACATGCAAAAAGGTGGAATTATTTCCGTTAACAGTGAAAAGTGGGACTACTTTTGAAAGAACACGAAAAAGTGGAATTATTTGAAATAATTTTTCCAAAAAAAATTCAAAAAAAGTAATTTAAGCCTCCAGCCATTACGTATCCACAGGTGAGGAGTGAGGACAAGTCACATCACTCCCCTATCAGGCCAACATGGTCATATTTAAAAAGCTGAAATCCGCTGCCAAACGGGCCTAGCTCTAGGTCCAAATTGGTCGAATTAGGATATAAGAAGTAATAAAATTTAGATTAAATTCTCTAAATAGTTCTTTATAAAGGGGTTTTCATATTTAATCCACATTTATCAAATATAATGTAGACAATCTTTATTAAATGGATATCATTCAACGTTTACTCCTCCGTCTATTTTTCCATCTCAGTGCCTTTAGTCAAGGACCAAACGTGGAATGATGTCCAATCAATAGGGACCACGAAAATAATATTTGATAATATGGACTAAATATGGAAATTCTCCCGTTATAAAGAACTATTTGAAGAATTTATTCTTTTTAAACCACTTTTAATATAAAAATTAATAAATAGAAAAAATGTATAATTGTAGTTTATTTATAAAAAAATCAAAATTTGTACACCACAAAAAATTGTTTATCAAAAAAATATTTTTTTAATACGAGAATCTATTCGAAACAGATAGGAATTAAAAAGGTTCAAAGTTATTGTCCCTTTTTAATAACTTAAGAGCTTCAAATTTTTATCTCCAAAATAAGTGTATAATATTAATAATGCCAATATATAATATCACTATACAATGTCATTATAACACAGTGCAAACTCGTATATTGCGAAAAACATGAAATTCTTAATTTCTTATTTTGAGGATAGATGTTATATTTACTCCTATTTTGGATGATTTCAAATTACTTATTAATTCCTATATCTTCCAAGATAATTTTCAAATTAAAAAATGAATTTTTTTTGTAAATTATGTTTAATGATAATTTTGACTTTTTATATTGATCTACTTTTGAGTTTTTTTTGTCAAAATTGGCAATCTTTAACCACGAATTAAATAAAATTAATATTAGATATTGATACAAAAATAATTTTATTAGATTTATTTAAATAACTTTATTTAATTATAACTCAAATGTTGGAAATGATTGACTGCAAAAAGTCAAAATCAGACAAAATACTCAAAGACGGAGGTAGTACTTTCATATTTTCAAATACTCCCTACGTCCCAGAAAACATGAGAGTTTTGATTTTGAAGAGGGATTAAAAGGGTATGTATTTTGGTATTTAATTTCCAAAAATGTCTTTTGATGTGATGGGTAAAAGTAAGATTTGATTGATAGATTATTAGTAAAAGGGTATGATGTGATAGGTAGGGTATGAAAAAGTAAGGGGTAAAAGTGACATTTTAATAGAAATGAGAAGTGTTTTTTTTGACGGATGAAAAAAGAAAGGAGAAAGGTTTTCTAGAACGGAGGAAGTATTATTTTTGTGGTCCTTATTGATTGGGTATCATTCCACGTTTGGTCATTGTCTAATGGCATGAAGACGAAAAAATAGACAGAGGACTAAACGTTGAATGATACCCAATTAATAATAACTGTTAACATAACATTTGATAAATGTGGATTAAATATTGAAACTCTCATTTAAAAAGGACTATTTAAAAAATTTTCTTTAAAATTTAAAGCTCAATTGGTGAGGAGAGTTAGGATCACAAGCCATGGCTCCAGCGATGGACTTTTCGGATTTAGAAATTTGCGATTCGATGAAGCCGGCGGAGGAGGTTGACGTCGAAGGCGAAGGGGAGATGTCCGACGAAGATTCGGGTGTCCGTATTGTTGATTCATTCAAGGACCCTTTGGGAACCATTGTGCAATACAGTGGTAACGAAGACATGAACACTCCTGGCGATTATCAAGATTTCTCCGATTCCGAAGATGAGAAAACCTTTAGACAATACAGAAAGGAATTTCTCGCTAGTGATGTGAGTTTTCATCTTTCACCTTCATTCTCGAATACAGATTTTCAATGTTTGATTGTGTTTTCGTTAATTAGGGTTATGATATCACTACCTTCTATTATTATCCTTTCACGATGGGTCTCCTCGAACCCATCCCTCTGGAACCTGGCGATATGTTATATGAAGGTTGCGTCCATGCTGTACAAAGATTGATTACATATCTCTGGGAAAAGGTATAGTGTTTTTTATTATCTATGTCATATATCATGTCAGGATATGTTTGGTACACAGAATTGATGGAATTGGATTTGAATTGGGAGCTGAAATTCTATAGAATTGATTTGGATGGAATTGAATTTTCCACTTCCAATTCATTTTTGGCATTACCAATTCTAAATTCACATATTTTTGTGCTACCAAACAGTAGAATTAGAACTGTTGTCCCCAATTCCAATTTCATAGTTTGAATATTTTGTGTACCAAACGGAGCCTCAAAGAAGCTGGTTTTGAAATTTTTCTTTTGTCTGATCAAAAGCCACAACTCTGCAGAGAGGAAGAAGTCTTGAATTTGTGGAACTTATTAAGGCAAATTGGGCTATAAATACTTCTCGTTTCTATTTCGCCACCTTTACCGCTATGGAATGTGGAAAACTAGGAACTTATCAAGCCACTGTTTCGAACTATTCGAGGTGGCGAGGTTGAGATTTATCAGTTTAGGGAGGCACCTATGGTAAAAATCAATATGTTACTCTGTGAAATTATAGCCTACATGAAGTTATTAAATGATCTGATTATACCCTTTTTTTTCGTTGCTACCCTGCAGGTAGATGGAGATCAGAAGCTGGGGAATTAGTGTCTGCACATGGTCCTATGTGGTTTGTGAGTCTAAATAGATAAGCTCTATTTTGTTTTCTGTTTTGGTAATTTACTGCAGTGCTCCAATGGTTGTGAAGCTATTATAAAGTCTTATGGTTATTTATGTTAAATTGTGACACAATCTTTTCCATCCTTAGTTGTTGGTTGTCCTATGTTGTCTGTGAGTCTAAAAAGATGAACTCTACCTGGTTCTCTGTTTTATTTTGTTGCACTGGTCAAATAGTTGTGAAGCCATCATACAATCTTATGTTTATTTGTGTTGAATTGCCACACAATCTTTTTCAATCATATAGCTCTTACATTCCCAATTTTAGTTCACAGTATGAGGATGTGAAATTATCTAGTTGTTACGGAGTATAAGTTATGCATTGAAAAGATAAATAGTTATGGGTCACAGAAAGAATAATATTTTTGGAGAATTTCTCTTAAAAATAAGGTCACCCACCGTATCCCACCGGGATTTAGAGTTTTTAGTAGAATGCCCATCTGACCCTCCCATGTCTTTGGTAGAGGAAGCAACAAAAAGAAAGCATTGGTACCATATCCTACAATGATAACAAGATGTAATAGGGGCGCCTTAAAAACAATCGTTCTTTGTTGAATCTCTTATTGTTTGGGCGCCCTCTCCCCTTAGACTATCCCCAGTGGGGGATTTAGGAATTGTGAAATAAAATAAAATGGGCACGGGGTCGTATCTTTGAAGACCAGATTATATCATGATTTATATCCTTCACAATCCTGTTGGGTCGGGGTGTGGGGGCGCCCGAGGCTGGTGTTCTAACTTTGAAATAAAATAAAAAAATATACTTGGGAAATAAAGAGTGAATAGTGAAGAGAGAGTGTGGAAATCCAAACTTTTTTTTTGTTCTTTTTTATTCCTTTGTATTCCATCCCAAGCTTCTCTCTCTCTCTCCGTTCTTAAATTTTTATTAATTTTTTTGTACTTCCCCCATTTCAATAAACCATTCATCTTTCGTTTTTTTGTTTTCTACAAGACACTTCAACTTTCTATTAAAAAATAATTTTTACCCCTACTTTTCTATACTTTATCTATCATATCATATTTTTTATTAGCAATTTAACTATCACATCTTACTTTTAAATATCACAGAGTGGCAAAATTGAAAAGTCGATCATAAATATACATTTCTTATTTTGGCTAAAATTCAAAAAGGGAAGAGTTTATTGAAACAGAGCGGGTATTTTTTATTCCAATACATTTCCATTCAACAACCTTCCGTTGTGTGTCCTCTTTATAATACAAGCTTGTAATGTTTGACGGAATGTTTTGTGGTAAAAATTGAAAAACATACCCCGTACCATATGTTCATTTTACAACCTTACTATCATCAATTATAGGGGATACTCCAACGCACATGTATTCAACAAAACCTGAATTTCAGTACTTGCCATAAAATAAAACCAAACTTCATTTACTTGTCAAAACATACTCATTTCGGCAATGGGTCCACGGAGCATTAAGATAATTTTCGCCTAGAGAGCTTGCATGGCAGAGGATTGCTCCTAAGATCCCTCACGAGATATAGCACTTAAAATCCCGCATACTCTTATGTTTGCTTCAAGGAATTTGAGAGGGAAAAGAAAAGAAAATGAGAAGGAAAATATTTTTCTTGTTTGGTTAGAGAAGAAAAGAAAAGAAAAGTGGAAGAAAAAGAAAAAGAGAAGGCAAAATGTACTAAGAGGAAGAAAAGCTAAATCCCTCCCGTTTTGGTGAGGAAAATGAGGAAAAACCATTTTCTTTTCTTTTCCTACCAAATTCCTTGAACCAAACATAGTGTAAATATATATTTTTTAGGATCATATCCATTAACTAAGAAGTAGTAGAACTTTCTTAGGGGCTTGAACTTTAGCCTGCTCTGATTGTATCTTATTTCGCCTTCACACAATATATTACGAAGAAGTGTTAGCTAACTTGGAAATATGGAAGAAAAGAGGAACATATGTATATATGTTGGTCGAATACACATGGTCACAGTAACCAAAACACTCAATACGACTAAACAATAACTAAAAGAAATGATAAATTAAATTGAAATTATGACAATAATGTAGCCTAAACTCAGAACAGTGTGTCAATCCCCCCTGCCCCTCTGTTTTATTTTGTTGCAGTGATCAAGTGGTTGTGAAGCCATTATACAATCTTATTATGATTTATGTTAAATTGTGACACAATCTTTTTCATGCTTATAGCTCTTACATTTCCAATTTTTAGCTCGACCCTTTCACAGGATTTATGAAATTTTAGCTTTCTGGGGTTCAAAATTTCTAGAATAGAGTTAAAAACATTGTCACCCAAATAGGGTATATTATATTTACACCCTTTGTAAACCGTTGTTTGTATATTTTAATAAATTTAATGATCCACAAACACATCATCTTCTCCACTCCTACCTTACCATGTCTTTCCGGGATGGACACAACCAAAGAGAGCATCCTTCACTTCCTTATACCGGAACAAAATCAACAAACTAATTCAGCATCTTCGGAAGAAGCTGTGATCTAGTTGCTTTCAGCTTGCTGCCTCTTCAGAAGTAGAGAAGCACTAAAATCATTTCCTCATTAGAGTGGTACAGTTGGATCTCAATTAACTTATTCTTATGGAACATCATTTTGGCTCTGAATGGCTACAAACATACTTTTCTGGAGCTGTTAAAGTTTTTTCTAGTAAATCCTTATTGCCAGTTTTTTTAATGATGTGAATGTACTTGGCAAATGTCGTGCATATTTATTGAGATGCTGTATTTGTCTGGGCGTGTTTGTTGAGATGCCGTATTTGTCGCCTAGCCTGAAAATGCCTAGGCGATGAGGCGCTCGCTTTTGCCTCGTCTCAGGTCGCCTCTTGCCTAATCTGGCCTTAGGCAACGAGGAACTCATTTTTTTTAAAAATAAAAAATATGTTCTATTCGTTTTATGTACACACACACACATATATAGACACACACATACATACGTACATAGTCAGCAGTTGAGCACCATATTGCACTCGCCTATTAGATGCATAGGCGATGCCAAATCGCCCAAGCGACTAGAAGACACTCTAGCACCCGGCTTCACCTAGTTGCCTTAATAACTATGATGTCGTGTGCACTAAGGGATCAAATGGACACTCATCTGCTACAAGATAAATTGTTTTCAGACTACTCCATAGTTGATTACTCCGTGTATTAAAAAAACAATATGATTGGCTTGCATTGATAGCAGTTTCTCCCCTTTGCCAAAACTTTAATCAAAACACAGAGTACAAAGATTTACAAACTATAAATTTATTTTTCTTTAATGCTCTAGTTGAGTCTCGGTCTTATTTGGTTTTGCATTTTTGATCTCTACTACATTTCTCCTTTTAAATTGACTATACCTGTGTAAAAGGAAAGAGAAGATTTGGGAGATATTTTCGTATATTCCGTATATATTAGTTTTAGTAGTTTCCTTGTATAGAAAATCCTTTTCCTTTGTTAACTAGGATTCTCCACTATATATGTAACCTTGGGTTGTACATTGCAGACACAGAAATAATACGAGAGTTTTTCCTCTTAAACAATTCTTTCATGGTATCAGAGCTCTAGGAATTTCCGCACGATCGCTCGGCATCGCGTCCATCGATCGTTGCTCACTGTTGCTGCCGAGAAGACCGGAACGGTCGACCGTTTGTTCATAACGGTCGAAGACATCGACCGTCCCGACGGCAGTATCTTCAACTGCTGCTGTTTCGATCCAATTCGTGAATTCTGTCATCTGGAATGTCTGAAGAAACACCCATGAAGATTATTTCCAGTAAGAAGAATGAAGAACGAGAGGAGGAGGAGGTTGGTGTGCGACGTCGTCGTATCTCCCCTTACGATTTGTCTCCGAGTGACAATCCGGGTATGATTTTGACCCATGTCATTCTAAAAGGAGATAATTATGATGAATGGTCCAAATCTCTACGTTTGGCTCTTTGAGCACGCAAGAAATTTGGATTCGTTGATGGAACGATTGAGATTCCAGATCCTGATTCGGAAGATTTTGACGATTGGTGGACAAATCATTCATTGTTGGTCTCTTGGATTCGGAACACGATTGATCCAACCTTGAGATCTAGCATATCGATCATGGAAAAAGCTTCAGATCTGTGGAACGATTTGAAGGCTCGTTTCTCTGTAGTTAATGGACCGAGGGTCCAGCAGTTGAAGCGAGATTTGGCAGAATGCAAACAGAAGAATCTTTCCATAATGGAATATTATGGAAAGATGAAGAAGCTATGGGACGACTTAGCAGATTTGGAGCGCTTTCCAACTTGCACGTGTAGGAATTGCACGTGTGATTTTCCGGAGAAGCTTATGCAGATGCGTGAGAGGGAGCGCTCACATCAATTTTTGATGGGTTTGAACGATGCTCTGTATGGAACCTTGCGGTCAAATTTGTTGGCCCAAGAGACCATACCACCAGTGGCAAGAATATACAATATTCTTGTTCAAGACGAGACAACACGGAATCGTATACACAAAGGAGAAAGCAGTGAAGCAAGTGCATCCGTGTTTGCTGTGAAGAATAAGATGGACGTCAAAGAGCTTGTATGCACCCACTGTAGGAAAACAGGACATGAGGTCGAGGCATGCTACAAGCTGATTGGGTACCCCGAAGGTTGGGTATTCCGCGATCAGGCCGGGAGAGGAAGAGGAAACGGGCGAGGAAGAGGCCGTGGGACTGCACGAGGCGGCAGACGGTCGACCGTGGCTGCTGGAGGGTCGACGGTCACGGGCGGACGAGGCGAAGCCCACGCTGTCCAAGGAGAAGAAAAGGGACCATCTCCACTGCCAAACTTTGAGGATTTGACGCCTGAGCAATGGAATGCTGTTCGTCATGCACTCTCACTATCCCCTACAGACAAGTCATCAAAACTCTCAGGTATTCCTGTGTCACCACGTTGGATAATCGATACTGGGGCGTCCAATCATATGACAGGTGATATTTCGTCATTGTATGATGTGGTGGGTGTGTCTCCGTGTGAAATTGGATTACCCGATGGAAAGAGGGTTGTGTCGGTTCAATCTAGAAAGGTTGATTTGACTATGACTATGACTTTGCAGAATGTGTTATTTGTTCCAACCTTGAATTGCCATTTGATTTCTGTGTCACAATTGAGAAGAGATATGAACTGTGAGGCAAAGTTCACCAATAATTTGTGCATCTTACAGGACCTAAGTTTGAGGACAACGATTGGTGTGGGTAGACTTGAAGGAGGATTATACTATTTGAAGAAGGAGGAGAGGAAGATGGCGTGCAGTGCTACTAAGAAGAGTTCATTTTATCTTTGGCACAAACGTCTAGGACATCCTTCTTCACATGTTTTGTCCTTAATTCCTGTAGTTGGTTCGAATAAACATAGTCATAGTCATTGTGATGTCTGTTTGCGTGCCAAATAAACTCGTGCTAGTTTTCCTATCAGTTTTCATCAATCTTTGGATAAATTTGATATGGTGCACTGTGATTTGTGGGGTCCCTATCGGACATCGAGTTTGGATGGCTCTACTATGTTTTTGACTATTGTGGATGATTTCTCACGTGGTGTGTGGGTGTATTTGTTTGATTCTAAGCGTACGGTAGGAAGTGTTTTTAGACAATTTTGTGCCATGGTTGAATGTCAGTTTGGGAAAAGGATAAAATGTGTACGAAGTGACAATGGTACAGAATTTGAATGTTTGACAGAATATTTTCTAGAAAAAAGAATTGTTCGTGAGACATCTTGTGTGTCTACGCCACAACAAAATGGTAGAGTTGAACGTAAACATCGGCATATTCTGAATGTGGGTCGCGCTTTGAGATTTCAGGCAGGGCTTCCAATCGAGTTCTGGGGAGAGTGCATACAGACAGCGGCTTATTTGATTAACCGGACACCCTCGTCTCTTTTAGGGGGGGTTACGCCGTATGAAAAACTTTAAAGAAGGGCTCCTGGACTGACACATATTCGAATTTTTGGTTGCAGATGTTACGTTCACAATCTGAAGAGAGATGGAGATAAATTTGCGCCTAGAAGCATTCCTGGAATATTTTTGGGTTACCCACAAGGAAAGAAGGGATGGCGCGTATATTTTCCAGACACTAGGAAGATAAGCGTGTCACGGGATGTTGTGTTTTGTGAAAACATCTTTCCTTATTTGGTTTCTACAGGTGAAATATTAGATGCAGATGGATCGAGTAGCTCCACTTTCGTTGATCACTTTGATGATGATGATGAAGTTCCTAAGGAAGGGCGGCTGGACCGTCCCGTGAGGAATGGCTGACCGGAAGAAGGAGATAATGCAGCTGGGCTACAGGCGGTCGATCAGGTGGACCGTTCTGATGTCCACGTACGGTCGACCGTCATCGAGGCAGAAAGATGGGTCCCTGGGAAATCAACCAACGGTCGACGCGGTGGACCGTTCTGAGAGACACGGTCGACCGATTGACGACCAGAGAGGCGGACCCCAGGGAGATGAAAACACGGTCAACCGTGACGAGAACAACGGTCGACCGTCCCCGAGGCAGAAAGGAGGCAGTGAGGAACCGTCACAGACGGTCGACCCCGTGGACCGTTCCACGGATGGCGGTCGACCGTCTTCTTCCCAGCAAGCAACGGAGGTCTTGGGGCGTGGCCAGCGGGAGAAACAACCAAATGTGAGGCTGGTAGACTATGTTACACATGTGGCCGGTCCGCTGGTTGAGGGAAAGTGCAGATATCCGCTTTCCTCATATGTTACTTATGAGAAATTTTCTGAGAAACATAAGTGTTTTCTCACGGCACTTGATGAAGACATCGAGCCTAGAAACTTCAAACAGGCATTCCAGGATGAGCGATGGAGGAAGGCCATGCGAGAAGAAATTGATGCTCTAGAGGCTAATGGGATGTGGTCTCTTGTTCATCCTCCGCGTCATAAGAAGGCTCTTGGATGCAAATGGGTATATAAAATCAAGCGCAAGTCTGATGGAAGTGTGGAAAGATACAAGGCTAGGCTTGTTATACTTGGCAATCACCATGTTGAAGGCATCGATTATAAAGAAACATTCGCTCCTGTAGTCAAGTTGACTACGGTGCGAACCATTTTAGCAGTTGCAGCTGTCAAAGGGTGGGAATTGCACCAGATGGATGTCCACAATGCATTCCTACATGGAGATCTTTATGATGAGGTGTATATGAGGTTGCCACCCGGCTTCTCAAGTTCGTCCAACATGGTGTGCAAACTAAAGAAGTCTCTGTATGGCTTGAAACAGGCTCCGAGATGCTGGTTTGCAAAATTATCTGGAGCTTTGGGACAATATGGATTTGTGCAGTCCATCTCTGATTACTCCTTATTTTCTTTCGTTGGAAAGAAAGGAGTGATACATGTTCTGGTTTATGTAGATGATTTGATCATTGCTGGTGATAGCACAGAGATGATTCGCAAGTTCAAGGATTATTTGGCAGATTGTTTTCGTATGAAGGATTTGGGGACTTTGAAGTTCTTTCTTGGCATCGAGGTAGCACGAAGCACATCTGGGATTTTCCTCTGCCAACGAAAGTACGCCTTAGATATCATTACTAAGGTGGGGTTGTTAGGCGCCAGGCCGTTGGGTGCCCCGATGGAGCCAAATCATCACTTGGCTTGTTCCCAAGCCTCAGTTCTTGCAGACCCGGAACCATATTGACGGTTGGTTGGGCGATTGGTTTATCTTTCCGTTACACGACCAGAGCTTTCCTATGCAGTGCATACTTTAGCACAATTCTTGAAAGAACCAAGGGAGGATCAGTGGACCGCGGCACTTGGGGTAGTTCGTTATTTAAAAGGATGTCCTGGACAGGGCATTTTCCTCTCTGCAGATAGTAGTCTTCAGCTTACAGGGTGGTGTGATTCGGACTGGGCAGCATGTCCTTTGACACGACGATCGCTGACGGGCTGGTTTGTACAGCTTGGCGAGTCGCCGGTCTCCTGGAAAACGAAGAAGCAGACAACGGTGGCTCGTTCGTCTGCTGAAGCTGAGTACAGGGCTCTTGCTGTTCTTACTTGTGAGCTGAAGTGGTTGAAGAGTTTGTTACGATGTTTGGGAATTGAGCATAAGGACCCTATGACGGTTCGCTGTGACAGTACCGCGGCCCTTCACATTGCCGCTAATCCAGTTTTTCACGAACGAACGAAGCATATTGAAATAGATTGTCATTTTGTTCGTGATGAGTTATTACGAGGAGAAATCCGGGCTCTTCATGTTCCTACTACGCACCAGCTTGCGGATATCCACACGAAGGCACTTGGGAAGTCACGACTGGAGTTTCTTATACCCAAGTTGGGCATCTCTTTGTTACATGCTCCAACTTGAGGGGGGGTGTAAAAGGAAAGAGAAGATTTGGGAGATATTTTCGTATATTCCGTATATATTAGTTTTAGTAGTTTCCTTGTATAGGAAATCCTTTTCCTTTGTTAACTAGGATTCTCCACTATATATGTAACCTTGGGTTGTACATTGCAGACACAGAAATAATACGAGAGTTTTTCCTCTTAAACAATTCTTTCAACCTGCATCTTAGTCTCCCTTGTCAAAGATCTTCTCGCGTTCTCTCCATAACTTGATTTTCATAATCACAGTCTTCTTTTGTGAATTTGTATCGTCTCACTCTATCTCTTTGTATACCACCCTATGGAGTTTCAATAAATGATTGTCTATGAAAAAGAAGGAAGTAACTCTAGTACGAATTAATTTCTTACTTTCTATGTCATAAGTTCGGTGTCAAAAAATGTCACATTAGTAATGCCACATGTCGGATTTTTATAGATTGTAGTTTGGGTGAGAAACCAGGGTTTTAAGAACTTCAAAAGGGTAAAATTAGCATAGTTTGCATAGGTTTTCTCTATTTTAATATCCTTTCTCAATTCTGCAAAAGAAAAAGAGGTGATAACAATAATATGTTTGGTGTCACCTTAATTTCAAGGGGTAATAATTTTTGTTTTTGTAGACATTTGTATAGTGAGAAGGGCATCAAGGGGCAGAAATAGGATAAATGAGACAATCTCTTTAACCACAAGATGCATGAAATGAAGACCAAACATCTCCCAAGAATCATAAAAAAGCTACTACCCACGTCCCGCTATATTCGTCCACTTTTGACTTTTGGAACTGTTAATCTAAGCACTTTGACTCATCAAATTCTCTCAATGTGTAAGCCTAAATATAGTCATGTGTGATCTTGTTTGATTTGTCTTAACATATATAGATTATTAATATATAATTTCTATATTTTTTTAATATTCAAATTACAAGATAAAATGAATTAAAGAAGTGCATTGGATGGTGTGTAAAAATGAAAGTGGACAAATACTCTGGGACGGAGGGAGTACTATGCTTTGAATGCAAAGTGAGATTGAAGAGGAAGGCCAAAAGGTGCAGTAAGTGTACCTAAGTGTACCTGGGACATCAGATGCAGTGGATGTATCAATTCCAATACTAAAGGGAGCAATAGCCTGAAGATTTGACTTTGTTACATCATGCGATTTAGCTGGAATATGCTCCATAAAAGTGACACACCGTGATGCATATAGTTATCTACGTACAAGATCAAAGCGGCAATGTCTGTCTCATACCATAGCCTGAAAATACACATAGAGCTAATTTAGGAGAAAACTTATTTCATTCAACACGAGGACGGAGGACAAAGCAAGTACATCCAAATTCTGTTGAAGAGCAAAAAGATCATATTCTAACTAATATTGATTAGCAACGTTAGACCGAGTATAGAGTCTTTCCAAATGATCCCAAAGTTCCTTTGCGGTGTCATACCAAGCCAATTGAATGCCAACTGACTGAGCTAGAATTGTTGATCCAAGTGAAAACCTTAGAATTATCAGTTTCCCGTGAATCAAGTGACGATGTGTGATTTTTCAGCCTTCTTGTGTGTAGGTTTGTCTTTAGCACCAGTGACACAAGTATATAACCCCACATATGTTTCCCACAAAGAAAATTTTTCATCACATAACTGCAATAGGCATAGTTTATACCATCCAGTTGGGTACTAATGGACTGGAGAGAGAGTCGTCCTTTCTAGCCATATTGCTAATACGAATAAGAAAGAACAGGAATGATACACAACCAAATACTTAGTACGAAGCAGCGGGAGCAAATACGAGCACCTTAATTAGGAAAAAACCAGAAGTAAATACAAACAAAATCTAAAGGAAAGAAACAATGCGAAATCAAATACGAACCAGAATCAATTATGAATCAAGGAAGCATCTACGCACCAGGTGGCTGCTAAAAACTATTGAATCATCAAATCAAAAATAATATGAATGTAAATTGATAATTGTGTACAGGGACAACTATATAGAAATCACCCTAAATAGGACTAAAACATAGAGAAAAGTACCAAAATAGGATTTTCATGTTTTTTTCCCGAAATAAGACTTTGCACTGTGGTAATGTTACTTTGCATTGTGGTAATGTGACAGTGTACATGTGCACATTAACATACGTTTTTGGTAATGTATATGACCATGTTTGGTAATGTAAGTCCTATTTCGGGAATAAAAACATGGAAGTCCTATTTTGGTATATCTTCAATGTTTTAGTCCTACTTTGGTCTCTCTCCCACAACTATATTATGTAAGGAACAAAGGCTTTATATAGCCTTATAACCCTAACTATTAAATAAGAGGCCCAATACAAAATAGCCTTATAACTAATTAGGCTAAAATTCTGGTCTATTTATTTAAATGACAGTTCTTTTACTGCCTTGATCAAGGTGGTGCGTCAAGACTTAAAATTATTCACCACAATCACTAAAAATTAAATCTGTAGCATAATTAACGATTCAATTGCGAACATGATTATTCATACCAATAGACAGAACTTTAAACGCATATGAAACTTATGACATTAAACATAGATTTCAAAAAAAAAAAAACAAAAATCCAGAAACATATTTTTTTAAAACACAGTACATGAATTGATAAAAACAGAAAAAAGAAAGATAAGAAAAACTATGTATTTAATATCAGGAGCCCTGAAAGGTAATACCTTTGCATCTGGCTCTCCTCCTCATTGGATCCTTCTTCTTCCTCTTCAAATTGGGATCATCCAGCCAGCATGCATCAGAGTCCATCATCAAGTATTTGGTCTCCAACTTGGCCCTTCATCTCAGTTTACACCACTTCAAAATTATTTACTCTTATCTACGAGTTCTTTGCAAAATGTTCGTCCGTCATCCCTAAGTTCTCTATTCATAAGTATGTCCTGTTTGAAATAATCGGGCAAATGATCTCTTCTGTTTATTTTGAAATTCAAAGTCTTGCAATTAGAACAAAATTATTTGAGGAAGAACTCCCTAATTTACTTTCTCTCGTAGATAGACTTCAAGCAAATTTGAAGAGAAAGCCTAAACCAATAAAATCTAATATACCAAGAGAGGATCAATAAATAACACCTACACAAATATTTACTCTGGCCATAGAGGATACTTTAATGTCCTCTCTAACAAATACGAATGATCAAACCAATATAAGTTTAAATAATTAATCTAGAAATTATATGATGTAAACAAAGCCATGAATATTTCTTTAGATTGTCGCAGTAGAAACAAGAAATTCAGTAATATTTGTTTCTCTTTATTTTATAGCAATTATTGATGGTACATCACTTTTTAATCAACATGTTGGTTGAAGTAATATGGTTAGAAATATTTTCTTCAAATAAGAGTTAGTTCCATGGTGTTGGCTAATCTTTTAGCAAAATAGAATCACATATTTGTTAGGTGTTTTACTAGATAGGAATCTCTATTTGTTAGGAGAGGTTTATTTTATTTAGACTTTTAGAGTTGTTGCAGTTTTCGAGGTTGACACAGAAGATGCTACAGCACGGTGCTGCAGCACACAATTCAAGATCAAAAGTCTCAGCACGGGATTTTAAGCTGCAATCTGAATTAGAGACCTATTGGGATTGTGACTACATGATAATAACTCCAGCTGTACTTGTTAAGGAATCTCAACTCTTTAGGCTACTTGTGGATCAAGATTAAGGAAGTTGAGTTCAAGCCAACTTCTACTAACTTATTCCTACTAGGATTGTGTTAAGAGAAGGCTATAAAAATGCAGCAGGTCCCGGGGAATTACTTGGAGCGATCGAGAGGAAAAACAAAGAATATACGCTGGTGTAGAGCATTCCCGTCTCGTCCTGGAGCTTCCCTTGCGTGAAGAAAGTTACGATCTACATTAAGGAGTCCTACAACGAAACATAGATCGTGACAACAAGGAGATGAACAAGATTTTAAGGAGAGGGCTGCCAACATGTTTGTCCTTGTGATCTCGGTGGAGATATGATAGCCGAAGCGGGTACGGGTTAGAAATCCTAGATTAGAAGTTTTGTCATAACAATTCGGAGAAGTCTGTCTCAACATGTTTTTATGTACTGGTGTAACTTGCATCTAGTGATTTAGTGGAGGGCTATTACACGGGCGTGGGCCCTGCAGATGTAAGAGAGTTCCCCGAACTGCGTAAACATATCTGGTGTTATTTTTTACGTATTTTATAGTTACAGCATTTTGCCTAGTAGGCGCTGTAACGCCCTCTGCATCATCTGCTTCTGTGTGGTTGTGACAAAGAAGTGTTATAGCACACTGTCTGTCATCTGTTACTGTGACAGTGCTGGAGTATCTTCTCTACAGCATACTTGATTGATTTGTTTGCATAGCTCTTAATTGGTGATTTCCGCTGCGCCCCCACGAACATACAATAAGTAAATGTAAGAAATGTGATAATGTTAAGGTTAATAGTATTTTGGAGCAAAATTAGGCTTATATGTTTTTATCCCCTCAATATGATTGTTGCAGTCATACTACACAATTTTAGCACAGTTTTTTTAAAATTTAAAATGCATGATGTCTAATAGAATTTTATAGGAGGACTTAAACTAAAGAGGACTCAAAGTTTCCCTTCTTAAAATCCTTCAGAAGTTTATAAGGGAAAAAAGATATTATCATCTATCTTTTGTTTTCAAGAATTGTTCTCCTTGACCACAAGAACACTGATAATGCAGGGGACATTCAAAAAATAAATACTTCGAGCTTTTATATTTTTACCAAATACATGTGAACTTAACTATGGTTTGAAATACTATGTTGTTATTAATGAAAATTATGATGGGCACACTACATCAGTAATGATGCATCCTTAGATTGATCATTTCAATTATGGACCATTTGGCTGATCTTTGTTGGACGGGATTCATGAACGACAAATCCGAGAATATCCTGATGATGGACACTTTAAGGTTGATATGGTTGTTTCTGTATGATTTAGGGGCTGTTTGGCAACTTCTCAATAGGTAAGTGCTGAACCAGTAAGAGGTCTGAACCATTAAGTGCTGAACCAGTAAGAGGTCTGAACCATTAAGAGCTAGTATATTGCTTAACTATTTAGAGGCAAATGTCTGATCAATTCAGATAAGAGCTCTTAACCATTCAGACTCTGTATAATACTTAACCATTCAGAGGCAAATCTCTTAACCATTCAGACATCTGAACCATTAAGACTGAAACAAACAGTCTGAACCATTAGGTGCTGAATCATTCAGACATCTGAACCATTAAGAGGCTGAAACAAACAGCCCCTTAGTTGCTTGATTCATTGATACCAAAAGCCTGTATAAATGTACATGGGTGATATAAACGAGGAGCCCCGGCCCGGTGATACAAACGAGGAGCCCCAAATACAAATACACAAAGAATACACTATATATGCACTAATACGCTAGTAATACTCATGGTACAGTCTCAATCTAGTCATTAGAGAGGTTGCCCCGTGACTGATGTGCAGTTTGTGCACAAGGAGGTATTACAAATGACAGAAATCCCACAGTGTCGCTGCCGGAATTCGACCCTAGGATCAATGGGCTTGACATCCTTTCTTTGGACTAGCTGAGCTATTCATGCAGACACTTCAGGATATAACTAACGTTATAAAGATGTAATTTTAAAATGATATTTGGAATTTGTTCCTTATTTTTATACTTTGTGTTGCCAAGATTACAAAGAAAAATTAGAGTAATAAAATTTAATTTCCAAAATTCAAAATAAAAGTTGTGAACCCCTGAATAATGATTTTGGACTTATATAAAATTTTTTATAAATTTTCTGAAATTCAAAGTACATATCTCGTCTTTCTGAATTGAAAGTTATAAATGGCATTGTTCATAGTACTCGTTTTTAGTGTTTTAGAAATAAAAAATATTATTTTTAATTCTTTAAAATTTATTTTCCATTTCAAAAACATTTTTCATATTGGAATATAATTTTTTAAATTTTATATTTTTGAAATGTATTTTTGGGAAAATAGTTTGGGTTTTGTTAAATAGCATGGAGTAAATAATATATTTTGAAATACTCCGTATGTTTTTGTTTCATTTAGAAAATAAGGTTTCCATTGCTATCATTGATCTAAGTTACTTCGGGCGTTATGTTCAGTGTAATACTTCTCCCGTGTTTGAATATTTGTCCACTATTTATTTTGTGGTCAAGATTAGTAAATTTTGACTATAAATTCAATAAAATTAATATCAGATATTGATATAAAATAATTTTATTAGATCCATTTATAAAATATTTCAAAATATTATTCTATATTAGTAATATACAATGTATATAAAATGCTACATCAAAAGATTTAAGAAACTAGCGATGATATAACTATTTAAATTGGGAGAGAAAGCGCAATTCTTAATAAATATGGACAGCTCGGTAACTATTAGGTGAACCGTAATTTGTCCACAAAACCCTTCCTCTTTCGTTTTTTTTTTGAATTCCCTAAAACACTTCCACTTTCTATTAAAAAACCACTTTTACCCTTACTTTTTCATACACTACCTATCACATCATACTTTTTCACTAATAACCAAACTATCACATCTTACTTTTACCCATCACATCAGGGGCAAAGTTGGAAAGTCAACCAAAATTACATTTTCCTTATTTTTGCCAAAAGTCAAAAGTAAAATGGTTTAAAGGAACGGAGGGAGTATTAAAAAGGAAACTAGATCAGACATGGGCCATGAAAGGAAACTACTGTACTATAAACCGGACCGTTTCCATAAAAAACAAATATGGCTTTGGTGTGAAGAGTCAGTACGGATCTATGCTCGTTGTTTTGCATGCTCATTGAACAGTATAAATATTCACAGTCCTATTCAAACTATTTTCTGGGGAAAAAATTAGAAAAGAAAGAGAGAACAAAGAAAGAAGTTAAACTAAAGTGAGTTGGGAAAAAAATGTTTGGGTTAGGGGGAAGACAATGCTGCCCTTCACTTTTTCTTCTATTTCCTCTTTTGGTAATTGTTTTATTAGGGATTTGCTCTTTGTCGGCTTGCGCACGAAGAGAAACGTTTAAGGTGGAATACCTCCCGGGGTTTCGCCACGAAGGCCCTCTCCCGTTCCATCTCGAAACCGGGTACGCACGTGCCAATTTTATCCCATGTCACACTTTTTCCACACAAATTGTTGCTCTTATTTACTCTTCCTGTCTCTAAATATTTATTACACTTGTATTCTCGAGACAAAATATCGAGTTTTTTCAATTCATTTTATTTACATATTTGTATAGAAATAAAAAATAAAATTTACATATAAAAAAACTACATGAAAAGTTGTTCGAAATAAGAGGTGTCAAGAATATTTTATTTTATCAAATAACTAATGAAAACGTAGAAATAAACAAAAGTTCCCGCGACTACTGAAAAAGCAAGTGTGGTAAATATTTTGGGACGGAGGGAGTATTTCTGTAGGCACTGAAGGTGTATGTGCAAGATATGTACCAGTATATATATATATATATATATATATATATATATATATATATATATATATATATATATATATATATATATATATATATATATATATATATATATATATATATATATATATATATATATATATATATATATATATAAGAACCCCAATTTTGTAGGGTTCAATTTTTTTCAAGATGCTTATCAATATTCTAAATACTTGATATTTTAGAAGTTAGTTTTAAATTATTAAGGGTCCGTTTGGTACATGGAATTGATGAAATTAGAATTTAATTGGAATTAAAATTTCATGGGATTCAATTTCATAGAATTGAATTCACCAATTCCAATTAATTTTTTGCACTACCAATTTCAAATCCGCATAATTTTTGTGTTACCAAACATGAGAATTGGAGTTGAAGTCATCAATTCCAATTCCATAATTTGAATTCCGTGTACCAAACGGGGTCTAAGAAGAATTCAGATCAATACTTAGTTTTAAATTATTAAGAATACGATACCGAAGTACGGAGTACTCCCTCTGTCCACCATAGATCTTCCCGGACACTATTCACAGGGTCAAATTTAATTCACTTTGTTTGCTTATTTTTACTACTCATTTTACAAAATAATATAGTCTTGTCACCTCTAGTTTTGTAGAACTTTTCATGTAGTTTATTACTATATAAATTTTACATTAAAATTTTACCCCTATATTCAAATAAATCGAATTGAAAATAAAGTCGGTCAAGTCTCGTAACGGGAAGATCTTAGATGGACGGAGGGAGTATTATTTAAGGATTCACTCTCCAGTCCGGTCAAGTCAACATCAGGCAAAATCACTCCCTCTTTATGCTTGATTTTTTTTCCATTCTTGTTCACCAAAAATTGACTGAATTGTAAAATTCAAAAATATATTTTACTCTTTTCATCCAAAAATTATTTTATATAAAAAATGGTGTGGAATTAAAAAATAAAAATTACATATTTAAAAAATTACATAAAAAAATCTATAAAACTATAAGTGACAAGACTATATTATTTTATCAAATTGACAACAAAAATAGGGCAACAAAGTGGAAAACATTTGACCACAACACCACATGAATAGTAAAGGGGAAGATAATATTTGGACCGAGGGAATATATACATTTGAAATTTAGGTTTTACAAAATAAGAGTTGAAGAGAATGCTCGATGGGTGCACCGGCCAAAACCGTACGGCAAAGGAGCTAGGTGGAGGCGGTATAATAGTTGACGGAGGAGAACAAGGTTTGCTGGAAAAGTTTTCCGGCAAGGTGGGGATGTCCGGCATCGGAAGAAAATCGACGGCAGATTGGGGAAAATCAGCGTGGCGCATTGAGTTCATGGCGATATGAGCTGATTTTTAATATGTACTCCCTTTTATTGGAATGCGGTCGTTGAATGGCATCGATTCAGATTCCCGGTTGGTTTAGGAAACTATCGGGCATCACACCTATTCAATTGGCACTAGGGGCGGAGGTGCAAACCTACTCCATCGGCACCATGTTTCCATCATTTTTATTGTGGTTTTCTTTGATTTTCTTGAGATGTACTCCCTCCGTTCTCAAAAACACTTCCTCTTTCATTTTTTCCACTTCCAACAAAACACTTCCCCTTTCTATTAAAAAACCACTTTTACCCTTACTTTTTCATACCCTATCTATCACATCATACTTTTTCTCTAATAATATATCCATCACATCTTATTTTTATCCATCAAATCAGGGGCAAAATTGGAAATCAACTATAATTTAACACTTCCTTATTTTTGCCCCCAAATCAAATGGGAAGGGTTTTTCCAAACGGAGGGAGTATTGTTTATTTGTTTACCAGAAATGCTAGAGTCACAAACACTTCGGTCACAAAATACACAAATTTGCTATTTGTGCACCTCAATAAATGAATAAAATGATGTTGAATAATTAAAAAGTAAACATTCAAATACACAAATGCCAAGTTTGTGTATTTTGTGACTCAAATGTTTGTGACTCTAGCATTTCTTTTTGTTTACTCCATTGTTTGTTTAGATTGTAAAATTTTTTGAGTAATTTTTTTGTAGTTCAATAATATTCCTATTTTTGTATATTGACTTTAAGTCAAAGAAAAAAAACAAACAAATTAGCACTAATTTACTAAATTATTATCAGTTTATTTTATATCGATATTTTAATTGACTTTATAATCTTATAAACATGACTAATTTTACACGCAAATACTTTATTTTGTCAATACATTTTTTTCGCCCCCGCCCACTCTATTAATTTCCTGGCTCCGCCCCTAGATAAACCCCAAATGCCTTATTGAATGATCATCAACAATTCTCAAGAAATAATGAGCACCAGCGGTAAATGAAGGAAAAACAAAATGACTTCGTTTGGAATAGAAATAGATCTCACATGACTCTAGTTTTTTTTAGACTAGAATGACTGATTAAAAGTAGGGAAGACAAAATTGAGACTCGCGGGTGACCAAGTCTCTTGTGTAGTAGGGTGGCTTGATCGACGCGTGAAGTTGAAACAATAGCAGAAGGTTGGAAAATTTATACTCCGTTGTGTGCTTTATCCCGCCCAATCTCCATTTTCGAAATTGAATCCTACAACACCGGTTTATAAACTATGCTGAGCCCATTTACAAACATATAACTACTAACATATTATGAAACGAGTAATAAAAATAAATAAAGTAAATAAAATTTAAATATGCATGAAAATAAAATTTCCAGATAGAGGGAATAACTAAGTACTGAGGAAATAAAATGTTTTTGGGCTTTTTAATTTTTGTCTTATGTCAGACGGGGCCATTTTGGCTTGGTTACTAATGGGAGAATATTATTACTCAATTAAATCAGGGAGCCTTACACAATATATATAGAGTAACATAGAGACTAATTACACAAAGACCCCATAACTAATTAGTACTCCCTCCGTCCCCCATAGATCTTCCCATTAGCCCTTTTTATTTGTCTCACATAGATCTTCTCATTACCTTTTTTAATAATTAAAATACCACAACTACCCCCACTTACTTTATTTATTACACCTTTTCCACTTTATTTAATACACCCCACCCATTTTCATTAAGGGTATTTTGGTAAACTTTCACCTTTTTTCAACTCTCCTAAAAAACCGTGAAAAGTCAAATCGAGAACATCTTACATGGACGGAGGGAGTATTTAACTATTATGTCTAACATCCCCCCTCAAGCTGAGTCGAGCGTATGCGAGAGGAAGCTTGGAAATGAGTGTCTGAAAACACTGCGAATTGAGGGGCTTTGTAAGAAAATCAGCAAGCTGCTCCTCGGAAGAAACATGTTCGGCCGTCATAGAGCCATCAAGAACCTGCTCTCGAACAAAGTGACAATCTGTACCCACGTGCTTCATACGCTTATGAAAAACTGGGTTCTTTGTAAGACAAATAGCAGACTGATTGTCACAGTAAAGAAGAGGTGGTGGTGTGGTGATGTGTAAATCAGTCAAGACATAAGTTAACCACATAACCTCAGAAGCAGCAGCGGAGAGGGCTCGATACTCAGCTTCCGTAGAAGACTTTGAGACCCTTGTCTGCTTCTTCGTACTCCAAGAAACAAGATTTGGTCCAAGATAGATGAGATAACCAGTGGTGGAACGACTATCCGATGGATCATTAGCCCAATCGGAATCAGAATAGCCACATAGACGTAGATCCCCCTTGCGGAACACAATACCCATCGTCTGCGAGCCCTTAACATAGCGGAGGATGCGCTTCAACGTATGAAAATCTTGATCCGTTGGGCTATGCATTTTTTGAGCAACATAATTAACCGCATATTGAATATCAGGACGAGTAACAGTTAAATATTGAAGACCACCAACCAGACTGCGAAAAAGGCGTGGATTAGCAAAGGGAATATCAGCACCATTTGTGGAGGAACTAGGACTGATAGGCGTAGGAGCAGGAGTACAAGTTTCAACACCAGCTCGATGAATAGGCTCTCCTGCGTATTTGTTTTGATGAAGAAGGAGAGTATCAGAGGTACGCTCAACCTCAAGACCCAAAAAATATTTAAGAGGGCCGAGATCCTTCATCTGAAATTCTTGCTGCATACTCTTTATAAAAACCGAAATAAGAGCAGAAGATGATCCAGTGATAACAATATCATCAACATACAATAACAGAATGAGAGTACCCAGAGGAGATCGCTTTATAAAAAGACTAGTATCACGAGTTGTGGTAGTGAAGCCTTGCGCCACCAAAAAAGAAGAAAGACGAAGATACCAAGCCCGTGGAGCCTGCTTGAGACCATATAAGGCCTTCTGCAGCTTGCAGACATGGTGAGGATATCGCTGATCAATATAACCCGGAGGTTGTGTCATATAGATGGGGTTCTCAAGTTCCCCATTCAAAAAGGCATTTGACACATCAAGCTGATGAAGAGGCCAATTATAGTGCATAGCAATAGAGAGCACAACACGAATAGTCTGTTGTTTAACAACTGGGCTGAAGGTTTCTGAGTAATCAAGACCATACTCTTGATCATAACCTTTTACAACGAGACGAGCTTTATAACGCGACACAGAACCATCCGAATTGCGTTTAATGCGATAAACCCATTTACAACCAATGGGATACCGATCACTAGGTAGAGGAACCAATACCCATGTATTCTGTCTTTGTAATGCCTCAAACTCATCATCCATAGCTTGACACCAATACTTATTTTGTGCAGCTTGTTTGTATGATGTTGGCTCGGTAAGTGGGGGTTCATCAAAGGGAATGGTGGAAGCATAAAGTTTGGGTTTAAAATTGCCGCTTTTAGAACGGGTGGTCATAGAGTGAGTGGATTGAGTGGGAAGAGGTTGGGCGGAGGTGCTGGGAACTGAATCATTGGCAGCAGGGTCGTTGCCAAAAGCTGTGGTAGGCTGGGTAGGTATTGTTGTAGGATTGCTGGGCTGGATAATTGGAGATGTTTGAAAGGTTGTTTGAGTGGAAGTTTGAGGTGTGGGTGAGGAAGGAGTGAGTTGAGGCATGTGAGCAGGACTTTGTGACCCAAAAGAAGGTGGAAAAAGAGGAAGAACTCCAAAATAGGAATTAGACATAGTAGAACTAGAGGTGGAAGAGGAACAAAGTCTTTGGTAAGGAAACTCAGACTCATTGAACTTTGCATGATGAGTGACATAGACCTTAGAAGTAGTTGGGTCAAAGCTAAGCAACATACCCTTTTGTCAAGGGTTCGTAGCCAATAAAGACACATGGTTTAGAACGGGGTTGGAGTTTGTGATCAACAACATGTCGCAAATGTGGGTAAACGAGACAACCAAACACACGTAAGAAAGAATAGTCAGGAGTTTGATTATATAACTTTTCAAATGGCGAGTGGTTGTTTAAAATTCTTGTAGGAAGCCGATTAATGAGAAAATTAGCAACAGCAAGAGCTTCGACCCAAAAAATAACAGGAAGATGAGACGTATGAAGAAGGGTGACCACTGTTTCAATGAGATGACGGTGTTTCCGTTCTGCAACACCATTCTGTTCAGGCGTGTATGGACACGTTTTTTGGTGAAGAATACCAAGACGTTGAAGAAAAAGAGCAAACTGGTTGCTTAGATATTCTTTTCCATTATCTGTGCAAAAAAGTTTAATAGTGGTACCAAATTGATTTTGAACCATGAATTGAAAACTTTGAAAAGCCCCAAAAGCTTCAGACTTTTGTTTCAAGGGGTAAATCCAAGAGAATTTGGTAAAATCATCAATAAAGGAAATATAGTGGTGATAACCACCAAAAGAGGGAACAGAGGTAGGCCCCCAAACATCAGAATGAATTAGTTGAAAAGGAAAAGTAGCAGCGGTACATGACAAAGAAAAAGGTAACTTGTGAGACTTAGAAACAGAACAAGAGTCACAAGAAAGTACATTTGATAATGGAGAAAGTCCTAAAAAGGAGAGTAAATTATTTGTAACTACTAACGAGGGATGTCCCAACCGTCGATGCCAGTCTTGAGCTGTAACAACCGCAGACCGGACGGAGGGAGACGACTCAAAGGACGGTGACTGTTGATAATTAGATGGCAATATATAAAGTCCTTGCTCACAGCGGCCTTTGTACCTCACCCGATGAGTGGAGTTGTCCAGAATCTGAAATACAGTGGGATTAAAGAGAAGAGTGCAGTTATTGTCTTTGGTAAAACGATAAACAGAAAGAAGGTGAGATTTCAGGGATGGGACATGGAGAAGGTTACCAAGGTGAAATATACCAGAGGATGTAGGAATTTTACCTGAGCCAACATGAGCAATAGGAAGTGAGTGACCACCTGCACTGGTGACATTCTCAGTACCAGAGTATGGAGAGTATGAATAGAGACGAGACAAATCCGGAGTAACATGGGTATTAGCACCTGTATCTAGAAACCAATTCTCATTGGGTGTAGGGGATTGATTTGCATAAAACGCCTGAGGAGAGCTAGAACTGGGTCCTGCGTATTCAGAGTCAAAGCGATGCCAACAATCCCAAGCTGCGTGATTATATTTGCCACAAATTTGACAAATAACAGAGTCACGAGACGCAAGACCCCTTCCACCAGAGTACGAGCCACGACTAGATGCTCTCCCACTAGACTGGCCGCGACCAATGTTCTGAGCAGCAAAGGACCGGCCAGTGGCTCCTCCTCGACCACCACGTCCTCTGTATGGAAAGCGACCTCCCCGGCCTCTACGAAAACTTGAGTTGGTATATACGGCCGTGTGCACATCTGTGGTGGAGGACTCTTTTAATTGCAGTTTTTGTTCCATTTGAAGGTTTAACTCTTCTTGAATCAACCAAGACGTAACCTGAGCAAGAGTAACCGTGCCAATGTTTGTGCAAATGTTTTGCTTAATAGAACCATAGTCTGGCGGTAATCCACGAAGGATGCACAAGATGACATCTTGATCAGAAATCTCCGACTTAGCACGGTGTAGTGAGGCTACAATTTTAGCAATTTCATCAAGGTATTTTTGCATCGAATCCGTGCCTTTATGAATATTATGCAATTGTTCCTTAAGCTGAAAGATATGAGTAAGAGAGAGAGAGAGTTGTATCGTACTTGCAGTTGATTCCAAATAGCCTGAGCAGTAGTATGTCCAAGAAGAGTAGTTTGCACAGAAGGCGTGATGATGGCAAGTAAACAGGCACATAACTGGGCATCGATGACGGACCACTTCTCATATTCTGGGTTTGGAACGCTGCTTACATTCCCATCTTTATCAGCCGTGCGAACAGTTGGAGGAGGAGGAACTATACTGCCGTCAACGTGACCCATAAGTCGATGAGCTGATAAATTTGCAGAAACTGTAGAAAGCCATGACGGAAAATTCGTATCATCAAGCTTTTCCGGAGTCAAGGAATGAAGATTCTTGATAAAAAGTTTTAATCCAGTAGGAAGATCATCAAGCGGATCGGCGGTCTTGGCATGTTGAAGAACGGGTGAAGCAGACAGATGGACGGCAAATACTCCGACTAAGATCTCTACGCAACACTCTGCCTTTGGACCGCAAGTAGGGAAAGAAAAAAAAAGAAAGAAAAAAAAAGATCCTGTAGCCTCTTGATTCCCTTCTTCTTTTTTTAGTAATCCTGATGCCACTTTGCACCGCAAGTAGAGAAACACTCTGATTCCCCTCTTCTTCTTCTTTATTTTTTTTTAACAAATCCTGGATAGAGAAAAAAAAAGATCCTGCCGGCGTGAAATTGCAGACTCCTCTGGTTCGGGAAGTTAGAAAATCGACCAAGACGGAGAATTTGTAATCGGAGAATGAGAATCTGGAAATTGGAGAAGAAGAGGAAGAACTAAACTGGGTTTGGAAATTCAACGATGGGGAAGATGGGAAACGATCGGCGAAGAAATCAGTAACCGATCGGGTTTAGGAATTGAAACCGTTGCTCTGATACCATAATGGGAGAATATTATTACTCAATTAAATCAGGGAGCCTTACACAGTATATATAGAGTAACATAGAGACTAATTACACAAAGACCCCATAACTAATTAGTATTTAACTATTATGTCTAACAGTTACTAAATAATGGCTATTTAATTTGTGTGTGTATTTTATAATGTGTTTGTCATAAATAATTATAGGTATATTGGTGTGGGTGAAGCAGAAGAAGTGCAACTCTTTTACTACTTTGTAAGATCAGAATCAAATCATAGTAAGGATCCCATTGTGCTTTGGATATCTGGTGGACCAGGTTGCTCTACTTTGTTTGCATTGACGCAAGAACTTGGTGAGTTTTTTCTTTTCTTTTTGATGCATGCAACTGATATAAATTTATACCAAAAAGAGGGAAATCCATTCTCAAAGGAAAATTTTGAAATTTAATTACGGAGTATTAACTATGCATGCAGGACCATTGATGTTTGATAAACCCAAGGATATGATCAATATTCCTACGATGTCATTGAATCCCTACCCATGGACTAAGGTACATACCTTAAAAGTTGAGGAAGTAGAAATAAATAATACTCCCTCCGTCCCTGAGTGTTTGTTCACTTTCATTTTTGCACACCATCCACTGCACTTCTTTAATCCACTTCTTAATAATCTACGGAGTATATGTTAAGATGAATCAAACAAGATCACACATGACTATTTTTAGGCTTACACATTCAGAGAATTTGATAAGTCAAAGTGCTTAGATGAATGGTTCCAAAAGTCAAAAGTGGACAAACACTCAGGGACGGACCAAGTAAGAAGAAACAATTAGGAGTTATTATTTCATCCAACGGTAAGGTACCATTAAGCAAGAAAATAGGATCAAATCTCCCACTATAATCACTACTTGGAACTTTTCCCACTAAGCATAAGATAGGCAAATGTAACTACTTAATCTAACTTTTCAAAAAACTCATGAAAATAATTGAATTTTTCTGACATATATGACCGCCCACAGTTTGCAAGTTTTATCATGTTGGATTTCCCAGTGGGAACTGGGTTTTCATATGCAAAGCATTCAACACACAACCATACATCTATTTTGGAAGCCCGTTATCATGCAGCTGAATTCGTTCGTAAGGTATATGTATGCATGTGTACACACACAAAGATATAAATTAATAAATTAATAAGTGTGCGTGTGTATGTATATATATATATATATATATATATATATATATATATATAGACACACACTTATTTATTTATTTAATGCACACACATATATACATTAGTTTCGAGGTTGCATAATATATAGGTGTATATTATGCACAGTGGCGGATCCACTAAGGATGAGTAGGGGGCAAGTGCCCCCAACTAATTTCTTGTGATAAGGTTAAAAATATTATTTTTTAAAATTTTATATACATATGCCCCCAATAAAAAATTAATGTGATCTTATCTAATTTGGTCAAATTTAAATTTTTTGTTTAATTTTTTTAGTAAAGAGTATTTTATTGTATAAAATTAATTGTTTATAAAATAAAATTTTACTTTACATATTAAAAAATATTTTACATTTAATAAATATTTGAAATAAGACTTATTATTTTTTGTCATTTCAAATAGTTTATCAAAAAATTTAGCCACGCTTCTAGACTACCGATCAATGATGCCCCCATCTACTTCAATTCCTGGATCCGCCACTGATTATGCATAGAATATAATTTTGTTTTAAGACAAAATTATTTGGCAGTGGGTAGAAGATCGTCCTGAGTATCAATCGAATCCATTTTATGTTGGCGGAGACTCATTTTCTGGGATCACTATTCCGGTCATCGCTCAAGCAATATCAAGTGGTATGTCATACGGAGTATAAAGCTATACTTTGATATGATTGAGATAAATTTCATTATAGAATTGGCTTGGGTAATTGGGCTCGAGTTTGAATATGATGAGTGTTTGAGGTAGTGGTTTGATGTCGTTGAGTAGGTTGGGGAGGTGCATATATATAGAGGACCTCAAAGGAAGATCTAATACCTAGAATGAAGGAGGCAAATATATATCTAGATTAGAGTCGCAGAGTAGTGCAGCGACCATCTAATTTTATTCCTCCCATATTACTTTGGGACGCAACAAAACTTATCTCCAAATTAAACGTGTAGCTAGTATCCTTGAATGGATCCAAGCTAAGGCATTATGGTGTATCCTATGGACTCTCTCTCAGCTTTGCAAACAACTATAAGGCTCCGTTTGGTACACGGAATTCAAACTACGGAACTAGAATTGTGAATTTCAATTCCAATTCTAGCATTTGGTTGCACAAAATTTATGTGGATTTGGAATTGGTAGTACAAAAAATAAAGTGGAATTGGTGAATTCAATTCTCTGAGATTGAATCTCATAGAATTGTAATTCTAATTCAATTCCTATTCCACCAATTTCGTGTACCAAACAAACCTTAAATTCATCTACAAATCCTAAATTAATAATAAGGTTTTTCTACTGCGTCCTTGCTAATCCATGGGTATAGATCGATGCCCATCAATCTAAAAATTAATATGTGGATCCATAATAACTTTATTTATTAAAATAACAAAATAATACGGAGTAAGTGATCAAAAAATTAAATCTTTAAGAAATTTGATAAAAATAATACAAAGTGAAAAGGAAGTGGCTATACTCTAGTTTTTTGAAATTTATGGGAATAAGGAATCTTTATTACTCCCTCCGTCCCATGAAGTGTTACCCATTTTGACTAAAGTTGAAATTAAGGGAGAGATAATTTTGTGTTGACTTTCCAAAAATACCCTTGATATGATGGGTAAAAGTAGGATGTGATGTATAGATTATTAGGAAAAAGGTATGATGTGATAGGTAGGGTTTGAAAAAGTAAGGGGTAAAAGTGGTTTTTAATAGAAATGGGTAGGAGATTATGGGATGCAATTTTTTTGAAACGTGTAAATCTTTTTGGGACGGAGGGAGTATATTAATCTACATAGCAACAAAGTTAAAATGAATCCACATGTCAAGTTTTAAGTGGAAGGACATCCATGCTCATGGATTTGCAAGGGCATCATAGAAAAACACTATTTAAAGATTTTTGTGAAATTTGCACTAAATAGAACTAAAAAGTCGCACTTATGGATCGTTTTACATATTTAGCCCCTACATGGGCGGATCTAGGTATAACCTAATATGGGCAATTGCCCCCAATGAATTTCAAAAGTATCCATATTAGTACCCTAATTTTTCTTTAAAAAATGTTATGCCCCCATTGAAAAAAATAAAATGCCCATAATAAAAATAAATTTTAAGTAAAAAATTAAATATCTACCATTAAAAATAAAATATATAAAATTTAATTGAGTCAAAATTAAACATTATTTAGAGCAAATAAAATTATAGGAAATATTTTTTAGATTTTTCATTAATTATTTGAATGCTTTATTGAGTAAAAATATTATTTTTTTGTAAGTTCACATTGTTATTTTGAAGAAAAAACAGAAGCGCTTCCCCCGAACCCCCGTAGTAGTCTCGCCCCCAGTCCTTGTGATTCCTGGATCCGCCACTGAGCCCCTACATATCAAATATTACTAATTTAGTCCACAATTATTATATCATTTTTTACAAATAGTTCTTTGTTAACGTTTTTGTTAAGAACATGAATAAAATTTTATATTCATACTTCTCTCTCTTCTCAATTAAGTTTCCTCTCTCCTCTCGTACTCTTTTCCAAACTCGTCGCTGAGTTTGAAGCTCTAAACCCAAAACTGAAATGATCATTCCCCTCTCAATTATTAGTCTTCTTGGTGGAACCTAAAATCAAAACCAATAAGCTTTATGGATGAGTTTTATCGGTTAGTCTTAAGAAATTGCAAAGAAAATAAACATTAAAACCCATCCATGAATGTTACTGGTTTTGTATTTAGGTTCCACCAGTTAGACTAACAATTGAGAGAAGAGTGGTGATTTCGATTTTGGGTTCAAAGCTTCAAATTCAGCGACGGGTTTGGGAAAGGTGTGCGATGGGAGGTAGAAAGCTTAATTGAGAAGAGAAAGGAGTGTGAATTTAAAATTTTATCTATGTTCTTAACGGAAATGTTAACAAAGGAACATTCGTGGAAATGAATATAATAATTAGGGACTAAATTAATAATATTTGATATATAGAGATTAAATATGTAAAACGACCTATAACTTGGGATCTTTTATGGAATTTTTACTCATTTTTTATTCTCTAAATAGTACTTAATAATGTCTAGTGGGAGGAATAATGTCCAGTGAAAATAATGACTAATGGATAATGACCAATTGTCCTACATTGGAAAATAAAAACATATGGTCCTATATTAAGAAAGTTATTATGTTTTAATCATATTTAGGTAAATTCCCCAAGATTTATAGGTAGGATGATACCTAAAATTTGAGGAATGCTAGGGGTATAAATGGTGTACCCCATTTGTACACCAACAATCATAGCCATAGATTTCCTTTTATATTTTTAATTTTTTTTCTTTTCTTGCTTTTGTGTGGTGGAGATGGAGGGGGGTACAAAAATTGGTGTACCCCTAGCATTTTTGCTAAAATTTTCCTAATATAATTTTAAAAATGCTAGGGGTACACCAAAGGCTTACCCCATTTGTCCCCCACCCCCTCCTTGTCCACATAATTGGGCAAGAACATAAATAAAAAATAAATAAAAATTAATTAAAAATGGATGGTGAAGAAGGGGGTGATGTACAAATGAGGTATATTTTTGGTGTACCCCTAGGATTGCTCATATAATTTACATAAGGGAGATGTTAGTGGTAACCCCATTTGTCCCACACCCCTTCCATAACCACTCATTTGTATTTGATTTTTATTTACTTATTTTTTTTAATTTTCTTGCCTATTTGAGTGGTTATGGAGAGGGTGGGGAGTGTACCCCTAACATTTTCCTTTACATGAAGCTAGAAGATCCTTAGGTAAGTACTCCATACTAATGCCGAAAAGCAAGACTGAAATGGGATCTCCCTATCTATGTCCTCTACCTCAAGCAAAAAATTTCCTCAATCTAGCTACATTGGATAGAATGTTGGAGTGACATAAAACTTAATCAACTCTTTCATGAATCTTTAGGAAATCCAATTTCATTATACTTGTGATAATTTTTTCCTTTTGTAATACCTAGCAAATTCCTCACATATAAGAATATGTACCACTCCCTCTGTCCCACAAAATCTTTCTCCTCTCTTTTTTTCTTCGTCTCAAAAACTTTTTTCATTGCTATTAAAAAATTATTTTTACTCATACTAAATTTTAACCTACTTATCATATCACATTTTTTCATTACCCACCACATCGTTCTACTTTTACCTATCACATTTAAGGGCATTTTCGGAAAATCAACACAAAGATATACTTTCTTTAAATTTTTAAAAAGCCAAAATCAGAAAAGTTTTGTGAAACAGAGGAAGTATGTTCTAAATCTCTAGTCTTTCAATACCCTTGGTTGAGGTAGACAATGTTAGGCATCACCTCTTTATGTTTTCATTCTTTTCAACATAGGATTTTAGAAATTATCTTGAACGAAAGTAAAGAACATTACAATAAGCAATTGGTTTAAATTTTACGAGTACGGAGTATTAGACTTTTGAGATTATCTACTCTTGGGATAACTGTATGTTCAAAAATGATTATCGAAGAAATAAAAATGCATTCATATTAATATAATAAAAATATTTCTTTAATTTTTTTCTCAAAAAAGTCAAATAAAATATTTATATTAATAAGCAAATAAATATTCATTTAATGATCAGAGATTTGTGTAATAGAGTTAACCAATTACATAGATACTCTCAAATATACTCATTAATTAGCCTCTTGGTATTTAATGCAGGGATTGAACAAGGGTTAAAGCCAGAAGTTAATTTCAAGGTTAGTAACCAACATTGAATATAATTATATAGAGCAATGCTACATTCACAGACAGGATACTCACAAACTTCACAAACTTACTATTTATGGTTTAAATTTTAATTTTAAAATTATTTTAGACTATTTAATTTTATTTATTGAAGTTCACAATTAGTAAGTTTGTGAAATTTGTAAGTATCCTGTTTGTGAATGTAGCATTGCTCAATTATATATTGATATAGGATTGACGACGTTACAATGAGATGACGAGATATAAGCTAATCAATAGAATGATCCTATATTTTTTTTGGAAAAATTTGCACTAAATAATACTAAAACGTAAGTCATTTCCCTAAATTGAGAAAAAAATACATGTGATGTTATTTAGAGAAAGTCATTATGTTTTAATGCTATTTAAGTAAATTCCCCTTTTTTTAATAACCTTGCTTTTGAAATGGGTAGCTCATATAGCTTCGACGCAATTATCTGTCCAGTTTAATTTTTTCGAGTCAAACAAAGTAACCTTTATGCTTCAATTAAAAAAATGTATTGTATCTTAATATAAAAAGGTTTTTATTATATTTATCAAATTGAGAACTTCCACAATTTTATTTTATTGTATTACTCCCTTCGTTTCTTAAAACCCTTCCTCTTTCACTTTTTTTGTTTTTCTTAAAACACTTCCTTTTTCTATTAAAAAACCACTTTTACCCCTACTTTTTCATACCCTACTTATCACATCATACTTTTTCACTAATAACTAAACTATCACATCTTACTTTTACCCATCACATCGGGGGCAAAATTGGAAAGTCAACTAAAATTATACTTTCTTTAATTTGCCCCAAAGTCAAAACAGGAACCATTTTGAGAAACGGAGGGAGTAATACTTAAGACAAATTAAGAATAATTAGAGTTTAAAGTTTATCTAATTAAACTCAAAAAGTCCAACTCGACAATTTTGGTTAAAGTTATTTGTACCCCAAAGATTTGTACCCCATTTTGTACATCACAGGGATGCACCAACATTTTGTGTTGGTGTAATGCTAATTTTTGTTAACGCATCAACACTTTGTGTCAGTATACATTTTTGTTAACACAGCAACATTTTGTGTCGGTGTAAATCATCAAAAGGTTGATGCATACATTTGGTGTACAAATAGAGTATAAATTTTGAAATACATGTAGCATGCTCCGACAATTTTACTGTTAGGCCCCTACTGCAAACAAATGGAAAGGAAAGAAAAAGAGCACACAAAATATTTAACGTGGTTCGGCACCTCAAGACCTACTCCACGACCTCCTCTGGGATAAAATCTCACTAGTAATTTTTGCACGGAAAAATTACAAACCCTCTCCAATATTTGACACTCACAATCTAAAATCTACTCCCTCCGTTCTCAAAAACACTTCCTCTTTCATTTTTTCCACTTCCAACAAAACACTTCCCCTTTCTATTAAAAAACCACTTTTACCCTTACTTTTTCATACCCTACCTATCACATCATACTTTTTCTCTAATAATCTATCCATCACATCTTACTTTTACCTATCACATCAGGGGCAAAATTGGAAATCAACTATAATTTAACACTTCCTTATTTTTACCCCCAAATCAAATGGGAAGTGTTTTTCCAAACGGAGGGAGTAATACACAATTATATAAATTGAAGGATTGTGTTGTGTGTTGGAGGCCTATACACCCTCTTTATTTATAGGCTCCAATCTCTTCTCAATTTTCCTATACCACCGATGTGGGACTTTGAAGTAACACTCAACAAATCTCCCCTTAATTCAAAGTCCTACATCATTTGTGATTTCTGTAGCGATACTCCCATCTTGCAGAATCTTCTGTCCAGCAGTACTCTTATCTTCAGAAGAGATCATCTTCATAAGTGATCACATTTGCGGAAGAAGCTTCCTTTGATTTGCCTTTCTTCTCCTTTAGGATCTGCAAATCCTCCTTGAGTTCTGGACAACCGTTCTTTGTGTGACCCAACTTTTCACAGTAATAGCACCTAACAGTGCTCATGTCTCTCAGCTGAGATCTTCTCCCAAGTTGGTCACTCTTCTTCTTCCTCCCTTTCTCAACACTCACAGCAGCTAGTAAATGACTATTCCCGGAAGACTCTTCACCTCCCATCATCCTTTGACTCTCCTTCAAGGCAGTCGTCACCTCATCTAGTCGCAGTGTAGTCCTTCCTAGCTGCTATCATTGACTGCACAAACGGTTTAAAGGATTTTGGTAGTGAAGCCAGTACAAGCAACCCTTGCTCTTCATCCTTGATGGTCTCCCCTGCATTTAACAGCCTTGATACTTGCTCGTTAAACTTGTTGATGTGATCGGTTACGCTACCTCCCTCTTCCATCTTCAGTGAGTACAAGTCCATCCTCATCATCAACCGGTTAGTAAGTGTCTTCGACGCAAACTTGCTCTCCAACGTTTCCCATAGTTTCTTTGGTGATGTCTCTTTCAGCACACTCACTTTAATCTGTGGGGACAGTGCTAACCGAATTGTGCTGACAGCCTTCTTCTGGATTGTACTCCACTCTGATTCTTTCATATCACTTGGCTTCTCATCTTGTAATGCTAATTCAAGACCTTGCTGGACCAAATAGTCTTGAATCGTGCATTGCCACAACATGAAGTCCGCTCTTCCATCAAATAACGGAACTTCAAACTTCAAGGTAGTCATAGTACCACTCAAGCAGCAATCAACCAATACCAAACAATCCAAATTTGAGGAAACTGGCCTAAAAAATGGAATCAGGACGTCAAAATTAGTCAAAACCAACTTCTCTCCAAAAATCACCAACGGGACCCACACGATGACTGGACCTGCTGACGTGGCGATGGGACCACTGATGACTGGACCCGCTAGCGTGGCGATGACGTGGCACTCGGGACCCACAAGCTGTTGAAGTGGCACTCACGAACCCACCTCTACTGACTGGACCACCACCTCCTCCACTGAAGTGGCACTCCCTCCTCTTGCTCCTTGCTCTATCTCCTTCACCCTAGACTGCAACTCTGTAATTAATAATTCTTTTCTGTTGTGGAAGATCAGCCAAAGCTGCAACCACAGAGCATACTAAGAATTATAATTACCAGATCACCTTGGCTCTGATACCACTTGTTAGGCCCCTACTGCAAACAAATGGAAAGGAAAGAAAAAGAGCACACAAAAGAGCATACTAAGAATTATAATTACCAGATCACCTTGGCTCTGATACCACTTGTTAGGCCCCTACTGCAAACAAATGGAAAGGAAAGAAAAAGAGCACACAAAATATTTAACGTGGTTCGGCACCTCAAGACCTACTCCACGATCCCCTCTGGGATAAAATCTCACTAGTAATTTTTGCACGGAAAAATGACAAACCCTTTCCAATATTTGACACTCACAATCTAAAATCTAATACACAATTATATAGATTGAAGGATTGTGTTGTGTGTTGGAGGCCTATATACCCTCTTTATTTTAGGCTCCAATCTCTTCTTAATTTTCCTATACCACCGATGTGGGACTTTGAAGTAACACTCAACATTTACATACTCATATTTTAATGTGTACCATTTTAAGCCTATGATACACACACTCATATTGTTTCAAATATGGTATATGTATGTCTAGGGTTATTTGCTTGGCAATCCTGTCACGTTTCCTCTTAGGGACCGAGGTTATTTTTCTTCACGTGCCAATGGGCTAGGGCTTATTTCGGATGAACTCTACCAGGTAATTAATCACTCCCCCACCCTTAATTAAATTTCATTAATTTTATCAGTGTTAGTAAATGTTGTCTAGAGATATTTTTTCAGCTAAAATACTTAATTACAATAAATAATACTATCTCATTTTCGAATTAATCGTGTTATTTTGACTTTACAAATTTAAGAAAAGTGTTGAAAATAACAAAAGGTGAATGGTTGAAATTTATTTTTAAAAAGTCAAATATTATCTACCATATTTTTTTTTATTAAGCAAGGAAGTAAGATAATTATTTTGGGACAGAATAAAAAAGAAGTAGAATATAATGATTTTCTCAATGTAATACCATATACTTTTATTTCTCAATATAAGACCATTGGTCATTATCCATTAGTCATTATTTAAGTAATTATCCACCATCATTAGACATTATTTCTCTCACTAGACATTATTAAATACTCCCTCCGTCTCCCTAAGATGTTCTAATTTTGACTTTTGGTGGTTTTTAAGAAAAGTTGAAAAAAGGTGAAAGTTTACCATAATACCCTTAATGAAAATGGGTGGAGTGTTTTAAATGAGGTGGGTGAGGTGTAATAAATAAAGTAAGTGGGGGTAGTTGTGGTATTTTAATTGTTAAAAAATGAAATGAGAAGATCTATTGTGGACAAAGAAAAAGAGCTATTGAGAAGATCTATGGGGGACGGAGGGAGTACCATTTAGGAAATAAAAATGTTTAAATCCTACACTGAAAAATGACCTAAATTTTAGTCCTATTTAGTGTAAATTTCACAAAGATTAAATAAGAAATACATAGTATGAACTAATAATTAAATACTAACTACTCCGTAATACTCTTTTTGTCCCTAAAAGATTTTCCACTTTCATTTTTTATCGTTAAAAATCTTTCCAGTTGTATTAAAATGTCACTTTCATTGTATTAATTTTATTCTACTTATCATATACGGAGTATATTCATTACTAATTTACTTTTATCACATCACATTTTTAAATACCACATCATGAGAAGAAATCTCTTTAAATTTTATTCATTACTAGTTTTCCTCATTATTTTTTGTTATTATTGGTTTTTGTGTCACAAAGTTGTCCTAATACATTAGGGTATGTCTTAATTAATGAATTATCACGAGCAGTTATTGAAGACAAATTGCAATGAGAACATAGACAAATCCAAATGTACTAAGCTGACGCAGAAGGCGGCAAAGGTGAGCAAACATTTCAATTTCGTTTCATTCTACACACCCCTAAATATGTTCTTTAGAGTTTAGATAACCACAACAATAAGGCGAGGTATAAATTGTATAATGGTAGGTTTGATTAGGTATGTAACACGTATAGACCTAATCAAAGCACAAGTACGCCCGAATTCGAGACAAGCTAAAATGCTACATTACGAGAAATTTGTAGGTCGTGGCCCCGTTCCGTTCAATTTATTTTTTTCTTATTTTTATTAAAATCAGATCAGATTAGACCAGATCATATCAAATCAGATCGAATCAGATCAGATCTGATCAAATCGAATCAGATCTGATCTGATCTGATCCAATCCCCATGAAGAATTATTATTATAATTATTACTCCGTATTATTATTATCATCATCATCATCATCATCATCATCATCATCATTATGATCATTATTATTCTTAAAAATAGAAAACTGAGAAAGTAATCTTTAATTATTAGAGTCGGAAAAATTATTTTTAAAATATATTGACAATGTCAATCTAATTCTACTTTTAAAATATATTTTTATTGCTACTTGTAATTTGAGTTTCTAAAGTATTGATCTTCTATATATTGATTATCTAAATGTAATTATTTTTTAATGTATATTTAAATTAAATATTTATTCTAATGTATATATGAAGTAATTATTAAAATATTAGATTAATATTCTAATTTCACAAAAAACTAATCATAAAATAATAGATATTATTACCTTATAATATGAATGATTATTTTAATATATTACATTATTACATATATAATATGAATGATTATTAAATTATTACATTATAAACTAATTTTATTTTACTAAAAATAATCATAAAATAAAAAAATTGATTATATTATAATATGAATTATCATTACAATTTTCAAACATTTTATAAAGTCAAATCAAATTATTGATTTGAATTTTAAATCAAATCAGACTAGATCAGATCAGATCAGATCCAATCAGATCAGATCAGATCAGATCCAATCAGATCAGATCAGATCCAATCAGATCAGACTAGATCAGATCAGATCAGATCAGATCCAATCAGATCAGATCAGATCCAATCAGATCAGATCAGATCCAATCATTTCAGATCAGATCCAATCAGTTGAGATCAGATCAGATCACAACTTATCAAAATCTGATCAGATTAGAAAAAATAAGTTGAACGGAACAAAGCCTAAGTGGGCCTAATAATTGAAGCTCGAGCCCAACCCGCATGGTCTCCGCGAGCTTCAGCATGTGCCAATCTGCATTAAAAAATAAATTTTTAAATGAAGTAACACGTTAATGTATTAAATGTTTGATATAATAATATTAGTATATCAAAGAAAAACTAACATAACAAATAGTAACAACTAAGTATAAGTGTAATTTCATAAAGGTAGAACGGAAAATTTACTATTTTCATTCAGAGATTCACGTGCAGAGGTCAAGAGAGGAAAATTATCTTCACAAAATGTAACATCTCGGACACTTTGTTTCTCTAGTGTCCAAGTAGTATAGACCCCATCCCTTCTTTCCTTACGGATAACCCAGGAATATCCATGGATTGCTTCTAGGTGCAAACTTGTCTCCATTCCTCTTTAAATTATGTGCGTAACATCTGTATCCAAAAATCAGAATATGAGTCAGAGCAGGCGGTCTTACATAGAGCTTCTCATACAGCGTAACCCCTAGCAAAGATAAGGGTGTTTGATTGGAAGCCCGCTTGAAATCTCAAAGCCCGACCCACATTCAATATATGTCGATGTTTGCGTTCTACTCTGTCATTCTGCTGTGGAGTAGATACACAAGATTTCTCATGAACAATTCCTCGTTCCCAGAAATATTCATGCAAGCATTCAAATTCTATACCATTGTCACTACGAACACACTTCACTCTCAGCTTCTTCCAAATTGACATTCTACCATGGCACATAATTGCTTAAATATATTTCCTATCGTACACTTAGAATCAAGCAAATAAACTCATACACCACGAGAACGTAACAATCATCCACAATAGTTAAAAATATCGTAGAACCATCCAAACACGAAGTTCGATAAGGTCCCCATAATTCACAATGTACTATTTCAAAGTTTCTAATAGATTGATGAAAACTAATGGGAAAACTAGCCCAATGGAGTTTGTTTAGCACGCAAACACACATCACAATGACTACTTTTATTTGAACCAACTAAAGGGACTAAGGACAAAACATGTGAAGAAGGATGTACTAGAAGTTTGTGCAAAAGATTAAAAGTGTTCTCCTTCTTTGCATTCCACGCCATGCTCATGTCCTCTTTCTTCAGATAGTATAGTCCTTCTTCATGTTTACCCGCACCAATCGTTGCTCTCAAACTTAGGTCATGTAATACACACAGATCATATATAGGTGAACTTTACCTCACAGTTCAAGTCCCTTATCAATTGTGACACAAAAATTAAATGACAACTCAAGGTTGGAACAAATAACACATTATGCAATGTCAAAGTCTTAGTTAAATCAACTTTTCCAGATTGAACATACACAACCTTTTTTACCGTTAGGCAGACCAATTTCGCATGGCGACACACCCACCACATCATTTAATAATGAAAGATCACCTGTCATGTCATGTGATGTGATAGGTAGCAATAGCATAAATAATCCAATGTGGTGATGCATGAGTAACTGAAAGTCTCATATTCGTGTCTAATAGAGACAACGAGAGAGCGTGATGGATCGTTTTCCGCTGTTCCAGGTTCAGATCATCAAAACTGGGCAGCGAGGAAGGTTTTTTTTCTTCTTCACCCCTGCACGGCATGCACTCTACCATGAATTCCACTGGCGGTCGACCGTCCAACACCCTCGATCGACCGTCCGGCTCCACATCCTGGACCGCAAACCCCTGCCATGGTTGGTTCCTCTTCCTCTCCCATTCTGATCTTAGAAAACCCAACCCTCAGGATATCCATGCAGCTTATGGCAAATATCAATATCATGTCATGTGTTACCACAATGAGAGACCACAAGCTATGTTGCCTCTACCTTAATTCTTCACTGCAAACACGGAAGCAACTAGATCACTTCCTTCTCCTTTGTTCATGGAGTTCCAAGTTGTCTCATCCTGGACCAGAATGTTATAAATTCTAACGGCGGGTGGTACGGGTTGCTGTGCTAGTAGATTTGACCACAGGGTTCTGTACCAGGCATTATTCAACCCCATCAAGAACTGATGTGCACGTTTTGTCTCACGCATCTGCGCAAGCATCGCTGGAAAGTCACACGTTCAGGTCTTACATACACATACTGGAGGACACTCAAAGTCCGCCATATCATCCCACAGCTTCTTCATCTTCCCATAATATTCCATTATAGAAAGATTCTTCTATTTGCACTCTGCCAACTCCTCCTTCAACTATTGAACCCTATGTCCATTCACAATTGATATGCTAGATCTCAAGGTTGGATTGTTTCACAGGTCAAGGCCTTTTCAACAAATGATATGCTAGATCTCAAGGTTGGATTGATAGTTTTCTGCTTCCAAGAGACCAAAAGTGAATGTTTCGTTCACCAGTCATCCAAATCATCAGAATCGGGATCTAAAATATAATTCTGATTCTCCCATCAATGAATCCAAATTTCTTGCATACTCGAAGAGCAAGACACAGAGATTTGGATCACACGTCGTAATTATCCACCTTCAAACAACTTGGGTCAAAAGCATACCTGGATTGTCACTAGGAGACAAATCGTATGGCGAGATGCAACGTCATCGCATCACAACATCATCTTCTTCTCATTCATCGGGTTTCTTGCTCGAGGTTGCCTTCTTGCTTGTTTTTTCTGACCTGATACAAATCTGCAACTTCAGCAGTATCGACGTACGGTTGACCGTTTTAGACCCGCGATCAACCATTTCAGCGGCAACATCGATCAGGAAATCAACGACGACGGTCGATGGACACTGTGCCAGTCGAGCGTAGCAGCAGCAGCGAGGAAAAATTAACTAGACTCCGATACTATGAAAGAATTATAATTGGGAGAAATTCTCTTGTATTATTGATGATTACAATATGAACAAAGGCCATAAATCTATGGAAATATATTCATTCCTTCTTTAACATTGAGCAATCACGAGTGCAATAAATTCCTCCTGTTGTAGACGTGAATTAGGGATATTGAACAACTTAAAAATCTGTCGTATTGTCTGTTAAAGTTACACAACTCCTAGTGGTGTAACTTGATAGAATTTATGATGGGGCAGTGATAACTAGATTGATCAATAAGACACTTGGGTTGAACCATATTAAAAGATTGAATCCAATCAATTAATTAGTTCAACTCAAGAGTTTATATATCGATTATTTCACTCTTGGACTTCTGATGTGGGATGCACTCTAACATAACTTCGAAAGATCATTTCAATTAGAGTATCTACAATGTCCCGTTTGTAAAATTGATAATTCTAACATCTACCTCGATCTCCTAATTATCCCCTAAACCTCCCATTCTAGCCAACCTCGCTTGAGGGAGAGGGGAACTGCAGAGATGATGTAGGGCTAGTGAGAAGGATTTAAGAGGATTATTATAAGAAAGGGAAATTGTCATTTTTACGCACGTAATAGTACAAAAAAATGTGAGTAAATTCCATAATTAGTCCTTTATAACAGGGGGGTTTCCCTATTTAGTCCTCTATTATCAAATATTACCCCAATAGTTCTTCTTTTATGGGTATCTTTCTACAAATAGTCCTTTTTTCGATCTTCAATCATGCTGGTGTTAATTTGAGGGCTAAAAGTGTAATTTCACAATAATAATATATCTTTTTTGTCATACACAATTCCAAAGGCTATTCCATTTGCGTCGTTTGTGAATTACAGTCGCTTTCTACTACAACCATAATCTACAAATGTGGTCTTTCGTCTAAATCCTAGCCCATAATCATAGTTATTATTTTTGTGTTATCCGCTTAACCAATATCAGAACACGTCATCAGACATAATGTTGATGTCAAATTATACTTTTAACCTTTAAATTAACACCAACATGGCAGAAGATTAAAAAAATGACTATTTGTGGAAAGACACCCTTAAAAAAGGACTACGGGGGTAATATTTGATAATAGAGGACTAAATATTCATGAAATGGGGTAATGGTTACTGTTGGTTAGTGAGGTAAAGTTTTGTTATAACCTTAACCCTCTCAATATTTATATGTGGCTTCCATCAAATGTTATATTTGCAGTTGACTGATGGCAATATGGTGGCAAATACTATGTGGCCGACATGCTTTTTCATAGATCAAATTGAAGACTCATCTTCTCACCAAAGTGATCTTACCTCGAATAAGAGGTTTAAAGGGTTGAATGCCAATGCCATTGATATTCGAGTAATATGTTATGTAAGTATTACCGAGTTTTTTTTTTACTCTTATTGATTTTTTTATAGTTAAAATTGATGGACTTTTAACTATTACTCTTTTCGTCCCAAAACGGTTGTAACATTATGCTAAATAAAACAAATTTTTGAATTTTTTAAATTTACTTTATTCAAAAGTTCTAAAAAAAAAGGTAACAAGAATATTTTATTTTAATAAATAATCAATGAAAATTTGAAAATAAACAAAAAATGGGTCTGGGTCGACCATTCTGCCCATATATAGAGAACCCCTGTTATGACATTATTTGATAGGGCAATGCTTGGGTACAACAACATGGGGTATCTCATTTGTACGCCAAGGTAACACAGACACACATAGACATAAAATGTTTGTGCAGCACAAACATTTTGTGTCTGTGTTAGCTTGGTGTTCAAATGGGGTACCCATGTTCATGTACCGGCCCCTAGATTAATTCTATTTGATACTAGAAATATATTTTTTACGAAAATGATAAAAGTTATATTTTAATAAATGGGAGAAAGACTAAAACATTAAAAATATGCCAAAATAAGACTTCCTTGTTCTTATTTCCGAAATATATCTAACATGATCATGTAAATTACCAAAAAAGTATATATAGTAAAGTGCACATATACAGTGCTACATTACTACACTGCAAAGTCTTATTTCGAAAACAAACATGAAAGTCTTATTTTAGTACTTCTCTCTATGTTTTAGTTCTATTTAGGGCGATTTATATTATGAAATGAAGTATTTGTTAGTCCTAATTAGTTATTTCTCCTTTAATTAAAATTAGTACTGTGTATTCAAACCCGTGTTTAAACATTTGATTATACAGTATTTCGGTAAAATTTCAAACTCGTATACCTTGTGGCTTAGAGTTGCCAACTTTAAGGTCCCGTTTGGTATACGGAATTCAAACTATGGAATTGGAATTGATGACTTCAATTCCAATTCTCATGTTTGGTAGCCCAAAAATTATGTGGATTTGGAATTGATAGTGCAAAAAATGAATTGGAATTGGTGAATTCAATTCCATGGAATTGAATCCCATGGAATTTTAATTCCAATTCAATTCCAATTACATGAATTCCGTGTACCAAACGGACCCTAATTAAAATTAATACTCACTCAATTCTAAAACTATCTTCTCATTTGTGTTTACAATGTTTGACCGACTTTATTTTCAATTCAATTCATTTGATTGTAGATGTAAAATTAAAAAATTAAATTTATATATTGAAAAACTACATCAAAAGTTCTACAAAACAAGAGGTGAAAAGACTATTATTTTATCAAATAACTAACAAAAATAGGTAAAGAAGGTGATTTAAGTTTGAACATGTGAATAGTAACTGAGAAGATAATTTTAGGACGGAAGGAGTATCAACAACAAACAAGTTAAATTCCACAAGAGTAGAATCAAGAGAGAGTGTTTATACACAGACTTCATCTCTACTCGAAAGGTATAGAGACTATTTCCAAAGAGATCTAGGACCTTGCATCTAAAGTTGCATTGATTGAGTAATTGCTACTTCATTAATTAAAGAAACACATACAGTTTAGAAATTCGATATCCCATTTATCAAAAAAAACTTTACATTTTTTAAAATATATTTATTCAAAAATTGGTAAAAAAGATTAATATTGATAAAATTTGTATGTTGAAAAACTAGTCAGCAATTTTACAAGAAAAAGTTAGAAGAATATTTTATTTTATTAAATAATTAATGAAAATATATAAATAAAAATTATCAGAAAATACATCACAAGAGAAAATAATCCTTATAATCTATTTTGAGGAAGTATTAGTCTCTCAAGTGTATGCCGCTAATGCAGTGGCGGAGCCAGGATGTTTCATGAGTGGGGGCGCAAGTAGAGTGGCAGTCTATCGTTTGCCGGAAGATATCAAAATAAAAAATTGTTCTCACGGACATTTTGTCGAGCACATCGTGTGCAATAACAAAAATTAAACCTTTACTTCAATAAAAAAAATTATACTTCAGTAAAATAAATTAAAGGAGTGATTGACTCAAAAAAAGGAAAGAAATTAAAGAATGGAAATGGAATTGGCTAAATCAATGGGTCGGCCTGAACATATTCAATTTCCATTCTGTGTGTATAGTTTATACTGTATATATGATCCTCTGCAACATTGCAGTGACTGTAAGTGCAGTCACTTGCACCATTCTGGCTCCGCCACTGCGCTAATGTGTATTCCATTAGGACCATGCTAGGGTGCTACCATGGGTGCACCCATGCTTCACACAGACAAACACAGACGATAATTGTCTGTGTTTGTCTGTGTGAAACATGGGTGCACCCATGATAGCACTCATGTGGTGACACGCTAACATTTCCCATTCCATTATTTTAGGGACCAGATATTGCTGGAAGGTGGGCTAATAACGCCACCGTTCGAGAGGCACTTCATATTCGAAAGGTAATTTCAATTTCAGAACGAAAAGTTCATGCTTATATACGTGTTTTCTTAATTATACTCCCTTTTTCATCAACAAAGACTCACATCTACTAATTAATTCTATTTCATATATACATTTTTACCAACTATTTGATAAAATAAAATAATTTTGTCATTGTTTTATATAGCTTTTGATGTAGTTTTTTAATTTATAATTTTTAAACGAGAGCCTTATTTTGTGACGGAAGGAGTATATTTTTTATGACTGTGATTGTGTGGCAGATAAGACATGCCTATCACACAAATTGTTTTCTTGAATTTAATTTATTTGAGAATTGGTAAAAGAAAATAAAAATTACGGAGTTTAAATTTAAAAACTACATAAAATTTTTTAAAAATAAGGATGATATGATTTACTATTTTATTTTAACAAATACAGATTAATATATAGAAAGACATAAGTATCAAAATAACATATAAAACCCATAATTTTATTTTGAAACTAGGGTGAGAGTTTTATACTTTTATTAGTTTTATCTACTACTACATCCGCTGCATGATAATGTTACACTGTTTTTTCATCCGTCCCATAATAAAAAACCACTTTTCAAATTGGACAATTTTTTTGTGACTTAAATTATTTGTCTATTTTTTGCATCAATTTCAATAATACTGGTACAATTTTAATTTCACTGAGTCTACATATATACCACTCAATTGTGTAATATTAGTACAAGACGGAGGGAGTAAAAGTCTAGGTGTAAATGTAAGACTCTACAAAAAAATACTCCCCCTGTTTTCAAAAAGAGTTCCTACTTTGAAAAAGTGGAAAAATAATGAAGTGTTAAATTGTAGTTGAATTCCAATTTTGCCCTTGATGTGATGGGTAAAAATAAGATATGATGGGTAGATTATTAGAGAAAAAGTATGATGTGATAGGTAGGATATGAAAGAGTAAGGGTTAAAGTGGTTTTTTAATAGAAAATGGAAGTGTTTTGTTGGAAGTGAAAAAAATAAAAGAGGAAGTGTTTTTGAGAACGGAGGAAGTAATACTCTCTGCGTCCTTAATGCGTTATTCCATTTTTTTCAAGTCAGGTTCAGATTTTAGATTCTTGATTCGGGTCCCGATAGATACTTTAATGTTTAGTCGGATCGGTTATGATCGGGTTCGGGTTGAATTGTCATCCCTATCTATACTATTCAATAATTGTATTACTCCCTCCGTCCCATAAAACCTTTCTCTTTTCTTTTTTTATCCGTCCCACAAAACACTTCTCACTTCTATTAAAAAGTCACTTTTACCCCTTACTTTTTCATACCCTAACTATCACATCATACCTTTTTACTAATAATCTATCCATCAAATCATACTTTTACCCATCACATCAAAGGACATTTTTGAAAATTCAATACCAAAATACACTCCTCTTAAATCTCTCCTAAAAAGCAAAACTCTCATGTTTCACGAGACGGAGGGAGTATATATTATAAAGAAGAGTTATTCTTCTGTAGTTCTAAGGTTCACATGTGAAATATGGACGATTCATACTTTTCATAGGCCGGTAGGTGGATATTTCTTGTCAAGGCCAAATTGTTTTATAATATAAATGTACTAAGTTCCATAAAATGTACATGAATCTTAAGACAACTAATAATTTGCTGGTAATTTACCTAGATAAGACTAAAACATAATGACTTTCTCAATATAGGACCATACATTTTTATTTCTCAATGTAGGACCATTGGTCATTATCTATTAGTCATTATTCAACTAAATGTTCAGCATCACTTGGACATTATTCTTCTCACTAGTCATTATTAAGTCCTATTTAGGAAATTAAAAAGTTTAAGTCCTACATTGAAAAATGACTTATATTTTAGTCCTATCCAGTGCAAATTTCACATAATTTGCCTATAGAGAAATACAGTATAATATAAAAATAATAATACTCACTCCCAAAATGTTTTAAACTTTACAAAAAAACAAAGTGGAGTTTTAAAGTTTTTAAATATATTTAATAAAAAGATTGGTATGGAAAATTAAAAATAAAATTTACATATTTAAAACCTTTGTCAAAAGCTTATTAATAAAACAATGTGTGACAAAAATATTTTATTTTATCAAATAATCAATCAACAAGCAAAGTATTTGGTAAAATTAGCTAGGCTAAACACTCACATGCCTCTAGGAATGAGCTTTTAGACAAATATCTTGACGAATTTGGTGGGCCAAAACCTTCTCCGTTACCATGTAAAAATTGCAGTTGACCAAAAACAACAAGCAAAGTATTTGGTAAAATTAACTCTACTTGCATATAAATACAGTATCCACTTTCTAATCAAAAGCTTAAGTTATACTAGTAGGTAGAAGTTCATCCTTCTATATATATATGCTAGTAGTATTTCATTACTTTTATAATGTGGGAACCTCCACTTCAATTATAGTTTAACCTGAATGAACTTTCTCATGAATTTTAGAAAGTGCGCTTCTTATCATTCAAAACAGGAGAAAAGTTCTTTTTAAAGCAATAGTTATTGTAAATTGTAATAGTCCGTATTAAATTATGGAAAAATGTAGGGAAGTAAGAAAACGTGGTTGCAATGCAACTATGTTCTGGGCTTAACTTATGTGGCCGCTATACTTGACGCCACACCCTATCATGCATACCTCAGCACAAAAGGTTACAGATCTCTTATTTACAGGTTAGCAAAATTTTACTACCTCTATTCGAGACAGACAAATATATCATCCTAAATTATTATTATTATTATTATTATTATTATCATCATCATCATCATCATCATCATCATCATCATCATCATCATCATCATCATCATCATCTTTAATTCTTTAAAATTTTGAAAAAAGTTTTAAAGTACGTGCATGGGGGCATGCAGTGGCGATCATGATTTGGTGATACCCTCCACATCTTCTCAAGCGTGGATAAAGTCGTTGAATTACTCTATTCTTAGTGATTGGCGCCCATGGCTCGTGGATGGTCAAACTGCAGGGTACGACTCGATAATCATTTGTGTATATGTGTGTACGCGCGTGTGTCTATATATATATATATATATATATATATATATATATATATATATATATATATATATATATATATATATATATATATATATGACGTTTCAATTAATAAAGTCTGGCTATTGCCATTTTGCCATGCAGCTATACGAGGACATTCTCAAACAACATGACATTTTCCACAGTTAAGGTAATACTCCGTGAGTCCGTGACTTGTGGTGTAGGTTGTATACTTGTATTTGGACGGGTACGGGTACAATTTTTATGTTATATACTTCCTCCGTCCCATAAAGTGTTACCCATTTTGACTAAAGTAGAAATTAAGGGAGAGATAATTTTGTGTTGACTTTCCAAAAATACCCTTGATGTGATTGATAAAAGTAGGATGTGATATGTAAATTATTATGAAAAATGTATGATGTGATAGGTAGGGTTTGAAAAAGTAAGGGGTAAAAGTGATTTTTTAATAGAAATGGGTAAGGGATTGTGGGACGCAATTTTTTTGAAATGTGTAAATCTTTTTGGGACGGAGGGAGTACATACATACATACATACATACATACATACATACATACATATATATATATATACACACACACACACACACACACACACTAAATAACATTAAAACTTCAGTCATTTCTCTATATAACACTTAAATTATTTTATTCTCTAAATAGCACTTAATAATATCTATAATGACCAGTCATGATAAATACTCCCTCCGTTCCACAAAACCCTTCCGGTTTTGACTTTAGGGAAAAATAAGGAAAGTGTAATTTTGGTTGACTTTCGAATTTTACCACTGATGTGATGAGAAAAAGTAAGATGTTATAATTTGGTTATTAGTGAAAAAGTATGATGTGATAGGTAGTGTATGAAAAAGTAGGGGTAAAAGTAGTTTTTTAATAGAAAGTGGAAGTGTTTTGTGGAAAGCAAAAAAAACAAAAGAGGAAGGGTTTTGTAGAACGGGGGGAATATTTATTTGAATAATGACTAATGAATAATGAATAATAACAAATAATAACAAAAATAGTGCTATTTACGTAAATTCTTTATATATATATATATATATATATATATATATATATATATATATATATATATATATATATATATATATATATATATATATATATATATATATAGGGAGTACATACAATAATAACTCTAACTACACATTTCTGGAACAGGGATCCGGCCATTGCACTCCACAATATACACCAATGGAATCTTTCGAAATGTTCAAAAGATGGATATCTCAAGAAGCTCTTTAGGGATGAAATAGCATTGAAATTATTTTATTTCCTAAATAGCAATTAATAATGTCCATAATGACCAGTGATGACAAATATTTATTTAAATAATGACTAAATGTCACTACAAAAAAATTGGTATTTCGCCACACTTAAAATTGTTGTTAGCCACATATATAAGTGTGGGGGAGAATATTTGCCGCACATGAGGTAAGTGTGTCGGGTAACAGTGTGGAGAAAATTTCGCCACACTTTAAATAAATGCAGCTAATAAATACATTAGCCACACTTATATATGTGGCTAATATTTTGTTTTGCCACATTTATATGTGTTTTTAAAACACCACACATACAAAAATATCATTATTTTTTAATATTTAAAATTTATAAAAAGCCTATATGGAACTCGAACCCACATCTTCATGTACTTTTGCACACGACGCTCTACCATCTACTAAAAGCTGAATGGAAATCCATTCCAATTGCACCCGCCAGAAATTGTAATCCAATGGTTATAAACACTTTGGTACACATGGCAGCTATACATTACATCTCATTATGTAGACATTTACAATCACTACTGGACAAATCATATAACACTACATGTCTTCTGAATATATTACATCCAGCCAAGTACTGCACAAATGAAAGTCATCTCCACTGCCTCAACATTCATTGCATCAATAAATCCAAGCCAAATAGTTTACAATCGTACTAAAAAATGAACTGTCACTGCCCCATTAATTTAGAATCATAAAAGTATAAAACTGACTATAAATATCCACCTTCCTCTGATTCAAAGCAATCATCTTATTTGCCATTTTTTCTCTAAGAAAGAAAGCAAGCCTTCTCATTATTAATGGCTCCTTTGGAGCTTTAATAATTGAATGATACTGAATATCTAGAAGAAACATGATACTCCCTCCGTTTGGAAAAACACTTCCCATTTGATTTGGTGGCAAAAATAAGGAAGTGTTAAATTATAGTTGATTTCCAATTTTGCTCCTGATGTGATGGGTAAAAGTAAGATGTGATGGATAGATTATTAGAGAAAAAGTATGATGTGATAGGTAGGGTATGAAAAAGTAAGGGTAAAAGTGGTTTTTTAATAGAAAGGGGAAGTGTTTTGTTGGAAGTAGAAAAAATGAAAGAGGAAGTGTTTTTGAGAACGGAGGGAGTAGATGTCAATGGTCGTGAATTGTATCTCTCACAACTAGGGATAAAAAGGTATGCTTTTAAATATAAACTCATAGCTAATTATATTGTTAGAACCGCTAACACAAGTATTTCATTGGAAACTTCTACTTGTTGAAAATACATATTTAATTAAATTAATTTTAAGTAATTTTCTATCCGCAGGAATCGAAATTGAAGGAGCAAATATTACATTCAAGACCCAATGCAGAAGATTGATTTTTAATCTTGAAGTTAATTAAAAGAATATAGTAGATTTTTTTACAAGTATCTATGGCAGTTACAGTACTATTAAAAGAATATAGTATATTTTTTTTCCAAATATTTATAGCCCGGACAACAATTTGGTAAACTAAATATGGAAGATTTTTAAAAATTGCCAATCGTACAAAATGAGTAGTCTACCTCATGATTTGAGTTATGAGATATGCTTTTATGATTTATTTCATAAAATAGAGTTATAAAGAATGAAATTTAACTTCACATACATATTATTTTCAACAAAAGGAAAGTCTATTAAAATCAAATAAAAATCATTTTGAAAAGAGGTGTGGTGTTGGAGTTCCCACATCGGAAAATAAAGATGAGTATCACTTGCATATATTGAAGGGTAAAGCCCTACCTATCAGCTTAAGTTTTTGGGTTAGAATTGTGGATCCCGACTTTATATGCAAGTGGTTAATTTTACCCGACACTCTATCCGTTATTCTCGGCACGCCAGAATTTTAACATGGTATCAGAGCAGGTCCGGTCCGGGTTTGATTGTTCCTGGTTGTTTGGATGTGGGTTTAGCAAAAATGAGCTACCCATCTGTGGTTTGGGCTGAGTTGGATAAAAAGAAATTGAGATGCCACCGCCCGTTGTCAGATTGGCATATGGTATCTGCACTGTAATATACACGTTCTTCGGAACTGTTCTTTGACATCATGTAATTGTTCACTGCTTCAACAACTTCCAATGTCGGGGCTAATATAGCTCTATCTTCTAGCATAGTACTATCTAGAGCTAGAGCACAACTTGAAGGGAATATCTCTTCAACAATAGATTGAATTGGGTCGTTACTATGTTCTACCAGAAGATCTGGTGGAATTGTAATATCAACCATGCCATCATTTGGACCACCTGCGTTACCATCACCTATACTGGCAATCCAATCTGTGAATTGTTGAATTTCAACTGAATTATGCAATTCCTTATTTGCTAGGCGCATATTCTTTGTGAGTTTCAAGACATTGCAATCTTTCCACAAGTAAGAGGAATTTATTGTCGCATTGACAATATCTTGTCTCGTTCCTTTAGGCACCACAGGCAAGATTTGTCTAAAATCCCCACCAAACACTATTGTTATTCCACCAAAAGGTTTGAATCGATTACCAGCATCTTTCACTCGCAATATATCCCTCAAAGTCCTATCCAAAGCTTCAAAGCAATACTTGTGAGTCATTGGTGCTTTATCCCATATTATAAGCTTAGTTTTTATTATTAGCTCGGCAAGGGGACTACCTTGGTGAATATTGCATGTCGAGTCTTCATTAGGAGTGATAGGAATTTTAAAACGCGAATGTGCGGTCCTCCCACCAGGCAAAAGTAAAGCTGCAATTCCACTTGATGCAACATTCACAACAATATCTCCTTTGGATCGCAACGCAGCAGATAATGTTCTCCATAAGAAGGTTTTTCCAGTGCC